AAGTAGGGAAAAAACAAAAGATAGTTTCTAAGATACAGTGGGGCAAAAAAGTATTTAGTCAGCCACCGATTGTGCAAGTTCTCCCACTTAAAATGATGACAGAGGTCAGTAATTTACATCATAGGTACACTTCAACTGTGAGAGACAGAATGTGAAAAAAAAATCCATGAATTCACATGGCAGGATTTTTAAAGAATTTATTTGTAAATCAGGGTGGAAAATAAGTATTTGGTCACTTCAAACAAGGAAAATCTCTGGCTCTCACAGACCTGTAACGTCTTCTTTAAGAAGCTTTTCTGTCCTCCACTCGTTACCTGTACTAATGGCACCTGTTTGAACTCATTATCTGTATAAAAGACACCTGTCCACAGCCTCAAACAGTCAGACTCCAAACTCCACTATGGCCAAGACCAAAGAGCTTTGGAAGGACACCAGGAAAAGAATTGTAGACCTGCACCAGACTGGGAAGAGTGAATCTACAATAGGCAAGCAGCATGGTGTGAAAAAATCAACTGTGGAAATGGAAGACATACAAGACCACTGATAACCTCCCTCGATCTGGGGCTCCACGCAAGATCTCATCCCGTGGGGTCAAAATGATCATGAGAACGGTGAGCAAGAATCCCAGAACCACACGGGGGGACCTGGTGAATGACCTGCAGAGAGCTGGGACCACAGTAACAAAGGTCACCATCGGTAACACACTACAATGGCAGGGAATCAAATCCTGCAGTGCCAGACGTGTTCCGCTGCTGAAGCCAGTGCATGTCCAGGCCCGTCTGAAGTTTGCCAGAGAGCACATGGATGATACAGCAGAGGATTGGGAGAAAGTCATGTGGTCAGATGAAACCAAAGTAGAACTTTTTGGTATAAACTCAACTCGTCGTGTTTGGAGGAAGAAGAATACTGAGTTGCATCCCAAGAACACCATACCTACTGTGAAGCATGGGGGTGGGAACATCATGCTTTGGGGCAGTTTTTCTGCTAAGGGCACGTGGGAACATCATGCTTTGGGGCAGTTTTTCTGCTAAGGGCACAGGACGACTGATCCGTGTTAAGGACAGAATGAATGGGGCCATGTATTGTGAGATTCTGAGCCAAAACCTCCTTCCATCAGTGAGAGCTTTGAAGATGAAACGTGGCTGGGTCTTCCAACACGACAATGATCCCAAACACACCGCCCGGGCAACAAAGGAGTGGCTCCGTAAGAAGCATCTGAAAGTCCTGCAGTGGCCTAGCCAGTCTCCAGACCTCAACCCCATAGGAAATCTGTGGAGGGAGTTGAAAGTCTGTGTTGCTCGGCAACAGACCCAAAACATCACTGCTCTCGAGAAGATCTGCATGGAGGAATGGGCCAAAATACCAGCTACTGTGTGTGCACACCTGGTAAAGACCTATAGTAATCGTTTGACCTCTGTTATTGCCAACAAAGGTTATGTTACAAAGTATTGAGTTGAATTTTTGTTATTGACCAAATACTTATTTTCCACCCTGATTTACAAATAAACTCTTTAAAAATCCTGCCATGTGAATTCATGGATTTTTTTTCACATTCTGTCTCTCACAGTTGAAGTGTACCTATGGTGTAAATTACTGTCCTCTGTCATCATTTCAAGTGGGAGAACTTGCACAATCGGTGGCTGACTATACTTTTTTGCCCCACTGTATTATGGCTGGTAGAGGCCCTGAGCTGTTATCTGGTTATGTGAGCATGAGCAACCATCTCTCCACACTAACAGGAGAAAAGAAATAATTAGTCTTGCTCGAAAAGGCTAGCTAAAACACCAAAATCGAAAAATCACAAAGCTAAATGCAAAGTTTAGGGCGGTATAGGGCTGGACTATGTAGAAAATAAGCTACGTCGGTCGATAAAAAAATGTTCAAATTTCAATTTCAGATTTCAATAATTATTGAAAAATACAAGAAAATGTACCAAATATATTACAAGTGCATCCCTGGTCATTATTTAATGACAAAATAAAATGATTTACCAGCCCTGGTTTTATAAGATTCTTTACCAATTTAGCGAACAGGTTTTGTTGGTTTGTTTGTCAGACTTGTGAACTGGTGAACCACTCTTAACTGTTTTTCGGACAATTTCCTCCTCTGGCCTTGCTGCGACACTGCTGTCTGTTAGGGTGGGGGTGGGGTGGGGGGGTCTTGGTGACGGAGTGTGCCTGGGTCTGTGTTTTTGATTGGTTGGTTGGGAGTAAGTAATGACTAGTATTGAGCTACCTGATAGGCGATAATGAAAAAATAAAGGAAACTTATTATTGAAGTTTTTATTGACCCATTTTTCCCGATCGCCCCTCACGTCTATCGATAGAGGTGTATCGTTATTGAGTTATTGGCCAGCCCATGAGCAGTACCAAAACCCAGCGGTTCATCTAGAAAACAACGTTTCTGTAACTTTTGTCAGCACACGCTCGACCAGATGCGTAAGACATTTCAGGGAGCTTTCTCCACATAGTTTTTTCGTTGCTTGTGTTGCTGGATGCCAACTTTACATCACTCTTAGAGCACCACACAGCAGACATGTTCATGATTTGCACCTGCACTGTGCAAAATAAAGAGGGAGGGAGACACTACTCCGAACACAGGGTGTCTGCAAGCTGCAAGCTTGTATAATGATAACTGAAAGGAATATATCGCATACTTCTCACGGAAATCGGCTGATAATGATTGTGGTGATTGATCGGAGCATCGCCACATATTATACACCTCAGCCTTTTGTTTAAAAGACTGTTTCTCTTGTTGCTGCTCAAGCTGAATAAAAAAGGACAAATTCAGACTCCGCTTTGTGAAAACTGGTGTGTTTAGTGGATCTTGGTTACCGTCCCACTGCTGCCTTCTACCTTCTGTCTTTTTCTCAAACATGGAAGCTGAAGTCAGAAAGGTTTTTGTTGTCATTTCATCCATCTGACGCCGTTCCTCCTGGACGAGTGTTCTACATATAAGACAGAACAGATGATTTCAGAGACCGACATGATCAACAAGACTAGTGCAACTTCTGAGTTGTTAAATATCAGTAAAGTGGTTCAAATCTGCCCTTTTTAGAAACGAAACTGGATGTGGGAGTCTATTTACGTCTGAAAAGGTCTAGGCCCACACCAGAGTGGCTCATTTTCAACAGTAATTGTGACTTTCCTCACAGCGGATATTCGGAGAAGCTTCTGAGAAGAATCTTTACCTTTCTCAGCTCATCATCCTGGACACGCTGGACAAGTGCTTGGCTGGCGTAAGTGTCCCCATTTCTGGGTTTTGTTGCATTGAAAAGTAGAAATTTCCCTGATTTAAAACATTTCTTTGTGACTAGTGGCTTCACAACTAGAATATTTGTTGAGTAAGATTTGACCCCTCAGATGTCTTCCTCCCATCCATATGAAGACAAGACGCTTTACAATAAGAACAAACAAGCTGATGTAAAAGGACTTGATTTCCATCGGTTGGGCTTTTCAGCTCCCAGAAGCTTACTCAGTGAAAAATGAACAGGAGTTTTGTTAAAGATTACCTAATTGATGTTTTTGACCCATAGTTGCTTCACGGTTTCAGCTGGAGTGATCAAATGAAAGGAAGGAAAACTGAGGCTGTTGTCCTTTATGCCCTTCCCCATCAGCAATCAAAAGACTGCTTACGTCTGGACGAGACCATGTTGGTGAAACAGCTGCTGCCAGAGATTTGCCATTTCATCCACACATATCGAGAGGTCCACCAGCACGCCGCTGAACTTCGAGCTTCAGCTTCAGCCGTCCTCTTCTCCTTGAGCTGCAACAACTTCAATGCTGTCTTCAGCCGCATCTCCACCAGGTTAGCCCTCTACCAATCCTGTTATTTAGAGTAGTAGTGTCCACCTCTTGTCCTCCGGGGCCACTATCCTGCATGTTTTAGCTGTTTCCCTGCTCCTGTTCAACAGGTCAGAAAGGTTTGCAGAAGCCTACTGACCAGGTGTGATGAAGCAGAGAAACCTCTAATATATGCAGGATTGTAGCCCTCTAGCACCAGGATTGGACACCACTAATCTGGAGACTTCACTGAGGTGTTGTTGCCAGGGCAGCTTCAAGCCTGTGCTTGAAGACTGACTTCCATCCTCACCTGAATGAACCTCACCGCTCCATTCCTCCCATTGCTGCTTGTCATGTGACGGGGTCTCACTCACACACAGCACAACCTCACGTTTACAGCAATACTTCTTAGAGTAACATGTGTTAAAGTAAACAACGAGAGTTAAATGTAACACCTGTGGTAGGATTTGTGTGGCTAAATATGAAATTTAAAAAAAAGCACCTCATCACTGATGCAAAAGAAAAGCAGATGCGAGTCTTCAACCTTCCTCCTCTACTGCAACACTGGGAGGGAGATAGCTAGCTTGTTTTACCTTTTATTTATAATGTTTAGGGTTAGGGTTCTCCGTGCTCCGTCCCGCTGCGCTCCTCTGTGAGAGCGGTGGGGGTGTTGCACACGTTCCGCAGCTGTTTCTCACCAGTATCAGCTGATGGAGGGGTCTAGTTTCGTTTTAGGGATGCAACGATACCACTTTTTTCCAAACCGATACGATACAGATACTTGGATCTGAGTACTCGCTGATACTGATTACCAATACCGATGCTTCTACCTCACAAAAAAATGCAATGATTTGGAATACAGATTTCATTTTCTTCTCTACTTTAAACAGGAAAAGACTGTGAGGTAGATAAAAAGTAAAATAAATGAATGGAAATCATCTCAAAACTAAAATATTATGTGAACAGAAATGACAAGTTTCAGTGAAGCCATTTTCAAGCAACTGCATTGGTATTGGTTCCTGGTATCGGTTAATTTTTACCAATACTGATACGGGTATTGTTATTGGTATCGGTGCTGATACCGATACCAGTATCGTATCGGTGCATCCCTTGTTTCGTTGCATCATTTTTGTCAGCGGACACGGTAGGGTTGGGGAGGGGGGCGGGGCATGACGCTTAGCCTAGCGGGTGGGCAAGCAAAGCCTGGCGGGCCGCCAGGCTTATAAAGCGCTGGGGGAAACCCTGAAAGTGACATTTTAAAGGACAGGTAACAAAAACTATCGTTCAAGTACCTGTACCGGCAACCATCTTTAAAGTAACCACAAAATCTAAAGGTTCCCTAGTCTAGAAATCTAGACGGAAAGTATCTGAAACACATTGCTTTGCTCTAACCACACTCCATAGGAGCGTCAGCAGGTCTGCCATTGGCCCGATCAGTATTGTGTTATGCCAATCACAGTGCTCTATTGGCTTGATGAGCGGGATGATGCAATGGAGCGGAACAACAAAGATGCTAGCTGCTTTGGCATCAACTTTGAACAATTTAGACTTGGACTTTTCTGTGGGTCAAGAGCAGATAGAGGTATTAAATTCCTTTATTTAGAAAAAGGATGTATTTGCGTCTCAAGAGTATGGCAGATTGTCCCATTGACTGACATCCATAGTGGTGAGTACATCAAATGTTTTGTTGTCCAATAGCATGCAGAGACAGTTTGAAAGACAACTGTAGATTCCGCCCCACAACGGAGTTCTGTCTATGGGTCGTGGCCAGACTATATATTTACGTATATCTATAGGATGCCTTGCCAGGCTAAAGGTACCCATTCTTACTTTATCAGGGGGTCATTCAAAGAAATCTAAGCTGCTGTTTGGTACTTGAGCACAAACGGTCAGATCCATCCCCCTGCAGCTTGGAACAGCTGAAAGGTGCCCTCTCGGCATGGGGATTGTGGGTAACCCTTCTCCAGCCAACACCTGTTAAAGTTGTTTCACATCCCTCCACGTCACACATAAGCTCTGGCTGCTTTCCTACCAGTGAGACTTAAACATTGCCCGGACTTCCTGTCTCCACATCTTCGAGTCCCTTCAGGGTAAAAGAATGACTGTTTGTGTCTCTTTAGGTTGCAGGAGCTGACGGTGTGCTCGGAGGACAACGTGGATGTCCATGACATAGAGCTGATGCAGTACATAAACGTAGACTGCTCCAAACTCAAGAGGCTACTTCAAGGTTTGGTTCTACTGCATGTTCACTAAAGCCGGGCGTACACTGTGCGACTTTTTCACTTTTTTGAGCCGATTTTCCACTTGTGCGAGAATCCACAAGATCGGGGCGAGTTTTGCACTGAGCGTGGTGTAGTATACAGGGGGTTATGAGAGGCGATTAACACCACATGACCAGCTACCAATCTGCAAGCGTGAGCTCGCATGGACTTCTGGAGTGCTTAATATTTTGCTCCTTCCTCGTGAGGGTTGAAGCGGCGCAGCGAGCGGCGCAGCGAGCGGTGCAGCGAGCGGCTGCGACCCAAAAAGTTCCAGAGCCGCTCGCCCGCTATTTCCCTAATACCACACGTTGTTCTTCTTTATTTCTACACGTTTTTTTTTTACACACGATGACAAGGATTGTCAAGAAAGCGTGTTTGTTGTGTTCATGTCAAATTAAACTGATCACAAAACACAGATTTACTTTCTTTATTTCGTTTTCCTCATCCAACCCCCATAATTCTTCTTCCGGCTCTTGCCGCTTTTTTCTCCTCGCCCTCCCCTGCTCCTCCCAAGGCTCTCTGTCCTGTCTGCCAGTGCACTGCGCATCGCTGCATTTTTTCTGGAAACTGGAAATTATTAAACATGATCTGGTCAGTTGGTCTCTCAACGCGACTAACAAAATCTTTTCAACGATGAGAGCGGGAGAAGGGGCTCCTGGGTGCCCCTCTGGGACAGAGCCAGCTGGTCATATCATGGACTCCTGGAAACAGTGGAACCTGATATGCCTCTCTCAACTGTCTGTAGAGGATTCTGAAGAAGTTTGGATATTTGTCATTTTGGTGTCGGGATTCCTGCTGTTTGGCCTGAGCGGTTACCTGGCATACTGGAAAATTACCAAGCTTTCGAGGAATATTGGCTCAATCCCGGAGCTCAGGGATGGAATGCATCGTGCTGTAAACTCACAAACTCATATAATTGTCGAGATTAGTTGTAAACTTGGAACTTTGGCTGAGATTCAGGCTCTGGCACAGAAGGTGGATTCGATCAAGGAGATAGCTGACGGATCAGCACGGATCAGAATAGATTAATTACGCCATTATTGGACCTGGATGGGTTGAAGACCAACAGAACTCTAAGGCAAAGAGGAAATGATCTCTGTACCCAAAACAATATAAACCCTCTTGATCTATTACGGTAGCGCGACTCGTGTTGCGAATGACCACAGTCACCAATTCTTGTCATGTATGTATGTTTGATCTTGGAATTGTGTGTTCTGAAACAATTGAATTTCCCTCTGGGATTATAAAAGTATTTTTGAATTTGAATTTGAAATCCTTGTTTGTCCTCCTGCAGCACTCCCGAAGGACAACAGGCAAAACAAGACAAAAAGTCTGACATGTTGTGTAAAAATTAATTGAGAACTATGAAATTTGGTACACTAATGTAGTGCCTTGGGACCTACAAAAAAGTCTCTTGAAGCCAAGGTCAATGTCGCACAGGAAGTCGGCCATTTTGGTCCAAGTACTCGATTTTGTGGTTTTCGCACGTCGTTTGGAAAGTGATGCCCCATCGCCTTTTCACCAATCGCCTTCAAACTTCTGCTATAGACTCTTAAGACGTAGGGGGAAACAATTCAACCATCTGATTTTTCAAAAGTTGAAAGATGTGGGCGTGGCTAAGCCTCAAACTTTGACCTTTCACCATTACATTACTTGATGTAATAACTCCCATGTGCATTAATCAGATCTATATCAAACTTTGTCTGTGTGATCATTGACCACATCTCAAGACAGTGACAATGTGGACAGCTGACATCACCTAAGCCCCGCCCCCTGACAACAGGAAGTTTATTGTTTTATGGTGAAATGCCCATATTTATCCCCTCTAATTTAGTCAACATGACACTAAGATCATACACTGACTTCATGATGCTGTAATGACCATTCAGATCTGATAGCTTTCCAGAAAGGAAGGGGGCTTTGATGCCACGGCAAATCCTGGTGTGACACAGTGGCCTTACGTTTGACTGTAACTTCCACAAACAGCCTCCGATCTGCACGAGACTGAACATGGCAATCACCAATCATGCCCTTTAGCCAACGAGGCACAAACGGTTGGTGAATGTTGTATAACCACAGCGCCCCCTCACTGGGGATCGAGAAGACATAGCAGGCACACACACACACACACACACACACACACACACACACACACACACACACCCACACACACACACACACACACACACACGTAGTGTTTCTATGGTTACATTGTGATTTCTTAGTAAATATTCTATGTGGTGAGAGATAAACTTTATTGTATTTATCCTAGTGGATCTATAATTAAACGGGTAAACTAGTAGTAGCACATCCAATGTCAAAGAGAGTCAAGTGTTATTATCAGGAGAGGTTGAATGATTAAACGGTTAGCAACTGTAACGTGTTGGAGGTGCTGTGCCACCGACGGTTATTTACCCTGATGTAAATTAGATGTAAATTAACTTCATTACACACAGCTCAGCAGAACATCGTTGTAGCTTCTTCTTGGGAGAAAAACACATAAGAAAAAATAAAGTTAACAGCTGAAATAGCAGGAAATAATACAGTTAAAGAGCAAATTGTAGAAGAACTCATGCTATGGCAGATGAGGGAGAAGCAGACAGGGAGGGATGGGTTAGCAGACCTGCCAAAAAGAAGAGGGTCCATGTGTCTCAGAAGTTTTTGTCCAAACATCAAGAACAGTGGCCATGCTTGCGATAAACAACCTCACCATGCGTTTTGCATAATCTGCAATTATGATGTGGACATAAGCCACCAGGGAGCTGCAGGTAATTAATAAAGTAGCCCTGGTGATGTGTGCATATGTGCTTTAAGCCAATTTTATATTACGTTTTTGAGAACAGAAACACCTATTGCAATTTACTAAATAAATAATTACCATTAAATACATATGTTTTTTATTAAATTATTATTTATTATTATTATTTTTTATTAAATTATTGAAATAATTTAATGCAAGTAACTTGTATAAGCACAAATATTATATAAGGAAACTTTAGAGTTTTACTGTTAATATTAAAATACATGACACTTTAAAGTCAGGTCAAACTGTAAAAATGTCTATAACTTTACTAGTCAAAATAAGAACTATGAACAACTGTGTGTGCGTGTGCGTGTGCGTGTGTGTGTGTGTGTGTGTGTGTGTGTGTGTGTGTGTGTGTGTGCGTGTGCGTGTGTGTGTGTGTAAAATTTTCCATCCAGTGAATGGGGAGATTACAGCGTGAAAAACAATGGAGTTGCAAAAGTCAGCGAAAAAACTCTGCAGAGATGGTGCTCAAAAATTTTTGACACGGTTGGCAGGTCTGGATATTAATGAGTATCGTCAGCATAACAGTGGAAGTTTATCCCATGCTGTCTAATGATTTTACCATTTGGATCCAGCTGAGTGTCAAGCAGGAAGGCATTGGGTCCCTATTTTAAAGTTTGTGGTATGACCCGACTGGGATTTGAACTTTGCTCTCTCAGTCCCCTGGTGGACACTCTACCTCTAGGCCACTCAGAAGGTGATCGTCTGGACCATCAGCAGGAATTGTCTGTAATGCTGCTTGTTTCCTTTTCAGAAACTGTTTTGAAATTCAGGGCCCTAAAGAAACCAGCACAGCTCGCTGTCATCAACAGTTTAGAAAAGGTACAACCTGAAAATGTCGCTGTATCCATGTTAATGATCAGTACTGATTAGGAAGCTTGAAACATCTTTATGCTTTTTGGTCATTGCAGGTGTTTTGGAACTGGGTGGAAAATTACCCCGATGAGTTCACAAAGCTGTACCAGAGTCCACAGACAGATGTGGCAGGTATGAAAGACACCTGTTTACACTCTGAGAGCTCAGAAGTGTACAGTGCATCCAGAAAGGAGGGTTACAGAAAAGGTGCTGCTGGAAAAGGAAATGTGTTTAAAAAGCTAAAATTTTTAGTGTTGATGACTAGTTGTTGAGGTGCAGCTCTTTTGACCTCCTCAGTGACGTTAGTCCAGTTTCTGTCCAATAGAGTTTAGACCCATTTTGAGTAATTGTACTGTCTGTTTGTGCAAGTATTTAAACCGTTACTGTAATGTTGATGTCACTACCTGTGTGTGTGTGTGTGTGTGTGTGTGTGTGTGTGTGTGTGTGTGTGTGTGTGTGTGTGTGTGTGTGTGTGTGTGTGTGTGTGTGTGTGTGTGTTGCCGTGCACAGAAGCTGCCGAGAAGCTGTTTGATCTGGTGGACAGTTTTGCAGAAAGTGCCAAGAGGAAGGCAGCAGTGTGGCCTCTGCAGATCATTCTGCTCATACTTTGTCCAGAGATCACACACACAATCTCTAAAGACACGGTGGAAGACAGCAAAGCCAACAAGGTGGGCATAACACACACACACACACACACACACACACACACACACACACACAGTCAGAGTATTCACACTCTCCTGACTCTGCTGTGTCCACAGAAACTTTTTTTGGATAACTTGAGGAAAGCTTTAGCTGGGCAGGGTGGGAACAAGCAGCTGATGGAGAGTGCTGCCATCGCTTGTGTCAAGCTTTGTAAAGCTTCTACCTACATCAACTGGGAGGATCATTCAACCATCTTTCTCCTGGTCCAGTCCATCGTCATGGATCTCAAGGTGTGCTGCTTTACTAGAAAACACATTGTTCTGTTCCCTTTGCAGCCTTTTAGAATATTCTCTAAGCCATGTCTGACAAACTGTGGGCTTCATCCATGTGGAAGTAAACAAAGCTGAAAATAAATTCAGGGTCACCCCATGCTTTATCAGGATTGTGTTAAAGCGAAGATTAAATGCAATCTGTTGATTTTCTTGGGTAGGCAGCTTTTCATTATTTCATATTTTATAATTTACTGCATCTGATTTCATTCCAACAGGACTGAATTGTCTGTAATGATCTGATAGGAACAGAATTGCTGCTTTAGTGAAGCATTTCGAGATGATCTCGTAAGTAGGGGTGCAACTGATCATCCTTGATCCTCATAGATGTCTTTCTACGGCTCTGCACACACATGATCGCGGATCAGTCACATGGAGGATCGAGGCGCCGTTCTCACAGATCGCTGTGAAAGGTGGGAGGGAGGTGGCGCGTACAAAATCCCTAGGACAATTATCACATGAACGTGTCGAGACCTGTTTATATTGTTGGGGACAATAAAAGAGAAGGAATAAAAAGTAAACGGCTCTTTCAGAAAGGTGAGGAAATGAATGAAAGCAGGACACGCAAGGAGGGGCCTCGGGCAAGCAAAAGAACCGTGATCTATTCCGAACCGTGAGTCTTTTAATCCGTTGCTGCACTTCTTGTAAATTTTAGTTATCATTGACAAACAACAGATATTAAAGGGCAAACAACAGGTATTAAAGGGATAAGGTGTAAGAAAATAGAACATTAGATCAGTCTTTATGCAGATGATGTTTTACTCTTTCTCCAGAATTCTCAATCCTCTCTCCCATTCAATAGAACTGATAAACTCTTTTTCAAAAGTTTCAGATTACTCTATAAACTGGTTAAAATCCACAGTTCTACCAATTAATTTCTCTTTTGTCAATTTGCTTAATACACAACCTTGGGATTAATATCTCTCCCAAGTTAGCAGATCTAACCAAACTAAACTACATCCCACTTTTAACTAAAGTGAAAGATGATCTTGCAAGATGGAAATCCTTACCGATATCACTCATGGGGAGGGTTGCTACAATTAAAATGATGGTCTTACCCAGAATGAATTACTTATTTTCAATGATCCCAAACAAACCACCAGCTGACTGGTTTAGATCTCTGGACTCCTCAATTACCAAATTCCTTTGGCAGGATAAACCTCCACGAATTAGCTTAAAAACTAGCCTAGTGAACTAGACCAAATTCTTGCTTTGCTTGTTATTTAGACTGGCTTGCCAGGCTACTTAAAAACACTTCAGAAGACCAAAGACAGAGGAGGACTGGGTCTACCCAACTTTTATTATTATTTCTTAGCCAACAGGCTGCAATATATACCAAGATGGTTGCAAGATAACCCACTAGATGAGTCCTGGTTAGATATAGAACAGACACTTTGCAATACGATAGAGCTTTCAGACTTACCAGTTATTAGCTCAAGCATAAGAAAACATGAAGGCTTCAAAAGTATTAGTATCAGCACCTCTCTGACAGCATGGTGGGAGTATCTAACATGACAGAGTCTTCACTAGTACCATGCAGACGCACACCTATCTGGAATAATCCTGATATTTTGCAAAATAGCAAAATGATGAACCTTCCGGACTGGAAAAACAAAGGAATCCTATACCTGGAACACATATATGAAGGATTGGACTTCATCCCATTTAATCAAATAGTCTCCCAATTTGGAATGGATAAGAATAGCTTTTTAGAATACCACCAAATTAAATCTGTGGTAAAACAAAAATTTAAGCTCAATAAAATAGAATTACAAACACCACCAAGGGTATTAGACTTCTATAATCTCAAACCCCCCAAACTACTGTCTAAAGTATATAAGACACTGTCCAAAATAGACGATAGAATAGTAATCCCTATTGAAAAATGGGAGGTGGATCTATCAGTCAGCTTTGACCAGAACTTATGGTCCCAAACTTGTTTAAAAACTTTTAAAATGATCAGACACCCCAATTTACAATTAATTCAGTACAAAATTCTACACAGAGTACACTATACAGGTCATGGGATGTTCATGATGGGGTTTGTGTCATCGGACACCTGTACACACTGCACAAACAACGTTCCTGACAATTACAATCATGCACTGTGGTCCTGTCCACCTGTCCAGGAATTTTGGGGTAGAGTATGTGAGGATCTGTCAAAATGTCTGAAATGTCATATCCCAACCACCCCCTCTCTTTGTTTACTGGGAAACCTGGACGATGTCCCGATTGAAACATCTTTGGTTCACGTGGTTCTGACTGCCATATGCATCGCTAAGAAAACTATCCTCTTGAATTGGAAAAATAGAGAAACTCTCTGCATCAACCAGTATAGAAATCTTTTGTTAGATCATATTACACTTGATATAGCCTCTGCTTCCACTTCAGATGAATCTCTCTGGGCTCCTTTGATCGGTTCCATCACATAGCGAGGGTGGGGTGCCGTTGATGTTGTCCTGCGGGATGGTGTGGGTGATGGGGTGGAGGGTCTGAGTTTGGAGTATCCGGACGTTCCCTGAGGGTGGGTTCACTGGGGTTGTCAGGGGCTGGGGAGCTGCTGCCCCCCTCTGGAGGTGCTTGGGTTGCCTCAGGGGGTGAACTACTGGCAGTTGTGAGTGGGGCCCCTTGAGGGTCTTAGCGGTAGCCATGGGTTTTTGCCTGGCAGCTGCATTGCCCCTGAGTAGGTCTGGATGGGGGCCTGGGGGCTTGGGGTGTGGGGGTGGCCGGCCCCATGTGGGGATCTGAGCGGGGCCTTGGGGGTCGGGTCCTGACATGTATAGCTGTTTTTACAGGACCATAGCGCTTGCAAAATTGGATTTGCCGCGGCTTCCTGGGGAGGATAAAGGTATTTTATAAGATCAGACCGTGGCGGTAATGTGGCGCATTCGTGGCAATTTTATAAAAGATTAGGTGATGGCAGCATAAAGGGGGTATGGGGGCGGTCTCTGCGCTGCCGCAGACTTTCGTTTATCTTGGACCTAACTTTCTTTTTATTGTGATTGAAGCCTTGATCGTTACGTTTTTTTTTTAACAAGCAGCTCCTAAAGGTGTCTGTCCCCATCAGTCCCTGTGCAGTCTCTGGTGATCTGAGCTTCAGCTCTAACAGAGAGGCTCATGGAGCGCTGCGGTGCTCCAGTTTGCCATCTCAGTTGATTTTGTTCAAAAAGCAAACCTTACTGCCTGTGTTTACTTTCATTTTCAATAAATTTGCCAGCCGGAGCTCAGCAATAACTCCCCACGTCATCATGACATCTGCCTCTGTTGCGCCAGGACGCATACGACAGACCATTACCGCAATATTACTACCAAGCGAGGTGGAACGAATGCCGCAAAATTTGCGCAACGCCATGCCGCCATGGCGCGTTTATAGACATACCATTGCGGTAATATTACGCCGATTTGCCAACATGGTGTGTCTTATAAAAGAGGCTTATGCTGCCGGGAAGAAGGCGGGAATATATCGCGGCAGTGCCTGGCCCAGGCTCAGGGGCCTCGGGTAGACCTTGGCTCCTCTGCTGTCCCACCATGGGTTAGGGGGATGTCCGGGAGGGGGAGGACCCAACCTTACCTGGAAGTCCTATGTCATATATATTCTGGAAGCTGTGCAGATACAGGGATGGGAGTAGATATTCTGCAGGGGTGGGGCTACGTTGGTTCCCTCGGACTCTTTGGACCTTTGCGATGCTGCTGCTTTGGGCCCAGGCAAGATGGGCTGGGGTCTCCATGCCCTGGGTGGCCTTTTGGCAACGGAGGTGCCTATTGGGGCCACTGGGGGAGCTGGCTCCCTGGAGAGCCTAGGCCAACCAGCCATTCCTCCCCATCCCTACACATTTCTCTCCTCCTGCTCCCAGACATCATCACAAAAACATGCACATTGGACCTTGGGGAGTGGACAAGTCAGGGGGTGCGGGTATGGACCCCATTTCCGCATTCCTGTGGCAACTTGCCCCCCAATTTTATTTGCACATTAAGCACTTCCACCAACGACATTCCATGCAAACACAAACTTAGGGCCATGGGAGTGAGCACATACAATGGCATTTGGCAGGGGGATCTTTCAGCCTCATCCCAAGTGCCGGTGCCCACTTCCAATTTTAAACTCCACTTAGACACAGAGGGGGTGGTGTGGTGGCATCCGCTAGCGTAGGCCAGACGATGTCTGCACTGCTTTCTTACCACAGCCATGGAATACACTTAATCAACACGCACCAACACAGTATTGGAGTAGGCGGAGGGAGACCAGGGGTCTTAGCACTCCTCTGTTGTCGCTTGGCTTCTCAGGGCTGGTGGCTAGGAGGTGGATCTGGCCGTCTGGTTGGGGTCTGGGGTGGTGGGTCGCTTTGCTCGGAGTTGAGCGGGGGAGCCTTCTCATCAGCACCCCAGCAGAAAGGGTCGAACTCTGGGAACCGGTGATGGTTGTACCCTTTATGCAGCAGTACCTGGACCAGAATGAATAGGGTGTGTATGGGGAGCATGAGTGGGTGTCTGTCGTGCATTTTTGTAAGTCCTAGGTTGTATGTGTATGTGTGAGCATGAGGGAGGGAGTGTGTGACTGTTTGTGTATGACTGTATATGTCAGGTGGGGCCTTTGACTCCTCCCCTCTCCTGGGACTTCTTTTGCTGCTACACATCTTTGCCTCCCCTCCCTCTGCCACACTTGGTGTGGAGTGTGGTGCCTTGGTCTGTCTGAGTGTTCGTGGCTCCCGGGTCAGGGTGTTTAAGATTTTTGGCGTCTGCCTGATTAATCCCGGTGGCTGCCCGGTGGGATCCGAGTCCCTGGGCTCTGTTGGGTCCCCGGGGAGGCTGGTTGCCCCTGGGTCCTGGGTCGCTGGGTTCCGGGCTCGGCCGGCTTGGGAATGGAAAGCTGTGGGCGGGCCTGTAGGCTTGCTGCTGATATCCCCCGGGACTCTGCTGGCTGATAGTTGTGGTCCCCGGGGGCAATCCTCTGCGCCTCTTGAGGGGGCCAGGGGCATTTCTGATCGTAGTCTCCCTGGGGTCCCTGTGTTCTGGGGCAGCTCCTGGATATCTGAGACTTGGAGCTCCTTCCATCTCCTACACATCTTTGGGGACAGATCTGTGGCCCCTCACACTCTATTGAATGCTCCTGTAGAGAATATGCAAGCACAATGCATATCAGAAATCAGAAAACAATTCACAAACTAGGAACTTGCTTTGGTACTAATGTGCTACATATAACATGAACACACAATAAGAATAAAAATAGAATAAAACTTTCAGCTATAAAAATGGCAGGTAATGGTAACATGGCCGATAACGTGACGATGTGTCGAGTACAGAAGACCAGCATGGTTGCGTGTTTATAATCTATTCAATTCAAGCTATTGTATAAGCTATATACAAGCGTGGGTACGCGCACTGGTGCTCACATGGTGCCCTCATAAGTATGGACTTGGGCACGTTCAACACATGTCTTAAGGCTGTGGTTGGCACTAAATGCACTGTGATTTATTATCGTTTGATTGGTCAGTAAAACAATGTTGATTTTATATTTCCTCATCAAGTTGAAGCAGTGATAGCTGGCTCTTGTTGTATTGTGTGTTGTTTTTTTCTTTCTGCAGGGCTAGAAGTCTCTTCCTCTCTCTTTCTCTGTCTCCGTTCAGAGGTGGTTTTACCATTAGGCATAGGTCGGCGGCCGCCTGGGGCCCCCTTGTGTTGGGGGGGCCCCTAGCCCTGACCACCGGCACCCCTCTGTTAATGCCACAATATTCTTATTACCAACCTGTTGCCGCAGACGGGATTGGACATGCGCACTTCTCATTACCATAATTCCTGAACGATTCAAGATATCATTAAAATTCCAAAAGTGCTGAAAAGATTAAAAATGGGGCTTTTTGTGCATATACAATACATTACGGTAGCCACCGGATTCCCTGTCTTGAGCGCAACGAATCACAACACAGATTCAGAGACGTGCTGAGTTTGTCATCCAACATGCTCCGTTGTATAACTTTTGAATGGCTGGTCAGATTCAAAAGATTCCAACGGTTCCTAAAAGTACATAAAAGCAGGTTTCCAACGATCTATAGCATGAAGCAATCAGAGTTATGAAAAATATCACTACGAGGGGAAATCCTGCTGTACAGCCTGATTGAAACGGACCGCAGCGCCGCGGTGAAAGCGGATAACGGAACGGGGAAGCTGATTAGCATAAAAACCAGCATGAAATTATGGAAATGCCTCAAAGAAAACACGATCTATTAGGTGTCCCAGAAGGCTTATATCTGAAAACCGTGACCCTGAAGGACAGATCTCCGGTGAACCAGCGTATGAATGCTTGTTCAGTCTTTATTTTTTATTTTTTTATTCGAACAACCCTCAACTATTTGCTGATTGTAAGATTCAGCTTCATTCCAGCATTATTTATCTTTTTACAATAAATAATTATTTTTGCTAAAACAAAAGTTTATGGTATAGCAGTGCACGGTGTGCAAGAGAAGCACCCCATGGCAGTGTGAGGTGTGCAGGACTCTGCCTGCAGCTGGAGAGAAACTGCTTCAAGGTCTATCACATCAGATTAAAACGTCTGAAATTTTACAAAAATAAATGGTCTTAAAAACTGCTAAAAATTATACCAAGGTTCAAACTTTTTTAAGAATAGATGCATTACAGTTCAAAGTTTAAATTGTTCATTCCAAATTGTTTGCCCAGTAATTTTGAACTTCCTGTTCAGTAATAAATTTAAAAAATTCAAATACGTTTTTTGCTTTTTTCACTTTTAAGCTGATTTTTTAAAGGCTTTAATAGAAACAAATTCTAAATACAAACACTAAAAGTTGAGGTTGTTCTGAAAAAAGGAGAAGAGTTACACACACTTTGTACTTTTTATTACAATTTTACAGCCATAAGATTAAAAAAATACCAGGCGGCCCTGTTATAATTATGGTCATAAGAGGGTTATTAAGACGGTGATGCACAAACAGGAAGTGACTGGTAGTCATTCCACTCCAATCCAGTTGGTGGCGTTAATGCACCAAATTGTTGTTTTCCAAGTGCCATAAGACCACAAATAAGAAGAAGAAGAGAGGCGGGAGCATTCGTAACAAACCCAGAGCGATAGTCAAACCATTAAGCATGAAATGGAGTTATGCTAGAGGCTCCAATAAGAGAAAGAAGCAGCTTGCTTCATAAAAGCTTTTATTTTCACTTCTGAAAGTGATGTCATTTTTCTATGTAAACATCAAAAGGAAGCAGAAAGGAAAGACAACGGAAAATGTTTAAAGGGAGGAAACCATAGACTAAAATGGAAAATAGAAAAAAATAACTAAGGCTAAAGCGCAGGAGCGCTGACAGGAAGAAGAAAGCAGAGCAAATATTGAAAGCGCTCAAAGGGAGAGAAAAACAGGAAAAAGAGGAGGACTAATAAAAGGGAAAATAACTCGTGTCAGAAGAGGGGAGAGTTTCGCAAATCCAGTTAAAGGTCCGACTGTCGAAAATTTAGTGTAAGGGGCCCCATGTCTGTGTTCGCCTTGGGCCCCCAAACTGCTAAATTCACCTCTGTCTCCGTGTCTGGTTGGAATTACAAGCATTAAAACAACAACAAAGTTTTAAGTATCAGGCGTGACATTAAAAGTAGAAGCTTTGATGCTCCACCTGAGAGTAAATCTGTAAGGCTTGTTACCAGCATTCAGACATCAACTCTGCTTGCTTCACAGCCAGACAGGACACGGGGGGGGGGGGGGGGGGGGGAGTATCGGATCTGGACTTGTAGCCACATATACTCCAAATCGGAAACAATTTATGTATAATATATGGGCTTATATGGACTATAGGACACTCTTTGGGCTACTCTTAGGCTATGTTCACACTGCAGGCAAAAGTGCATTCAATCTGACCCCCCCCCCCCCCCCCACACACACACACACACACACACACACACATACGGCCCATATCTGATTTTTCTATGACAGTCTGAACAACACAGATCCGATGTTTTCAAATCCGACCCATGTCACTTTCATATGTGGTACAGATTCCTGTACATATCTGATGTTTTTGAAAGCGACTGCAGTCTGAGCGGTCATGTCGCGTTAAATCCGTCTCCTACCTCACTGAGTCAGTGGATGTGAGCATCGTGTGTTGATGCTCCTGAGGAGAAGCGCTGACAGAAGGATTCAGTAGTCTGTCTGGACATCCTGTTTTAAGTTTTGGGTCAGGGTTAGTAAAAAAGAGCCTGAGAACGGGAGTGGAGGTGCTGCTGGAGCGAAGCGTCTCACCGGTCTCAGTCTCCATGAAAGGGGGGTGTCTCCGTGACAGCGAGGGGGCCTCCATAAATAAACTTAATACTGAAACATTTTCGGTGAATAATAATTCGGGACGACGGAGGGAACAAGGAGTAAATGGTTTACAGTTTTTGAAACCGTTTGCAGACCAAAACGGGAGACAGGACAGGTGTGATCCTGATCCTGTCAGTGAAAGCTTTCACATCACGACTCTGCCTCTCCTGCTTCCGACTCCACTGAGTGAGAATTCTTTTCTTCTGCGCATGTGGGTCGCTGTGGGGCCGTGAAGCGTTCACACTGGAGAGTTTGATGTTGCATTTCAGTTATAATGTGAACAGCAACACAAAGAAAAATCGGATTTACTCAAAAAATCGTAATTGAGCATCGAGGCCTGCAGTGTGACCGTAGCCTTAGTATCGCTTGAGGCAACTGTAATGTGTAATTCAGTTTGAGGGAATGATGCACAACATTTCAAGGGTTTTAGTTGTCCGATTGTTTCTGTCAGGATCTATATATGTTGATCCGTGTGCCAGATTTGATTAGAGAAGAAGTGCTTGAGTGCATGTTCTAAAGTGGGTTCTTGTCGTTTCAGGCTCTGTTGTTCAACCCATCCAAACCATTCTGGAGGGGGACGGGCAGTCAGAACGCTGACGTGGAGCTCATGGTGGACTGCTTCGTCTCGTGTTTCCGCATCAACCCTCACAACAACCAGCACTTTAAGGTAACTAAAGAGTGATGCTAATATTTATTTGTGTTGCTGGAATGTTGATGAAAAGGTGGCTATGTGGCTGGCGATCTGGGAAAGTTGAGTTCAGATTTGCGTGACCTTTTGGGTTGTTGCTCCATTTTTCTCATCCTGCTTTTTTTCCTGTGTCGTAGGTATGTCTGGCCTCCTCGTCCCCGTCGATCTTTCACTTTGTCCTGGTCAACTCGTTGCATAGAATCATCTCCAATGTAAGTGTGCAGAGCATCTTCACAGAATATTTGCCAAACAGGTCCTTGCTGTTAAGTCGCTCACCCCTTTCCGTGTTGCTACTTTCAGTCCCATCTCGACTGGTGGCCTAAGATTGATGCTGTGTACTGTTACTCTGGAGAGCTTCGCTTCATGTTCTCAGACACCCTTAACCGGGTGATTCAAGGCACCGTCCCTCATGCTTCATTACGCATGACATCGGTGAGCTAACAGCAGCCTGCTGCTTTTAACTTCCTTTTCTTTCTAATGTTAAAGCCGCTGTCTGGAGTTTTCCACTTTTTATGTATGATTTTTCAGAAATCCGAAACTGTGATGGTCTTATCATGCACTGTGATATCATGTAGGAAATATGTGGTTGTTTTTTGGGCGGGGACTCATAGAGCTCAATGCAATTTGAACTGGGCGCCGGTCAGCACTGACCAATAGCGTTAGACTACCGCTTACGTTCAGACGTTAACCACAGAGCGGGCTCAAGCGTTTAAGGACGTACCTCGGTTGATGCAGGTTGGCGACCTTTCTCGTGGAAAAGCAAGTCTTAAAAATCTAAATATATGAAAACACAACATGTGCATAATGACTGTAAAACAACGTGTTGTAGCTCAGTTTCGCTGGCTAGTGGAGTGCGTGCATGAACAAGAGGCGCTGCTTTCGGCCTTAAATACAGAAATGAATGTACATCACGATGTGATACGCTTGTCAGTCACTAGATCAGATAAAATAAATAATCTGGACAGCAATTTTAATATTTGAATTATTATGTGACTGCTCTTGAAGCAGCTTGTGGTTTTATTTTTGTGTCCAAACTGAAAAAAGATGCCTTTGATCACACCTTTAGGTGTTTGTTTAAAAATCTCAAGTCCAGATTTGGCCGTGACTTATTGCCTCTCTTTAGAAAAACTATAACAGCTGCACCAACCTTTGTTTGTTTTCGATCCTGAAACCACATCCAACACCTTCCTTTGGAGTAGTTGCCTTTGGGTTCCCCCGATAGTGTTCACAATGTGAGGGAAATGCGTCGGTCTGACCCTTAACGGTAATTGGTTAGGATGAGATGCGCCACCGGATGGGTGACATGCCACACTGCAGACCTTGAACCAAACAAACTCTATGACCTTCGGACAGGGCCACTCCACCTCCTGCTTTTCCGGCTCCACATTGGCAGTTCCTCAGCCTCGGACAGAGTGGGACCTCCCAGGCTGAAGCCCAGCTCCTCGTCATCCCTAGGGCCCGGTAGGAGCTGAGACGGGGTAGAGTGTGTTCCAACTCGGCTAACCCTTTCTTATAATCAATGCGGTCCACCCAGTTGGAAGATGGGTGCTGTGACTAAAAAGCTGTCTTCGTCTGACTCAAACGAAGCTCGTTCCCTAGATTCTGAGAGCCGGGGGGTCCTGCTGTGACTGTATTCAGGGCTTTTGGCCTGGTTCTCATCCCAAGCTGCAAAGCTTAAAAACTGTTGGCAAAAGTAGGAATGCTATAGCACCAACTAGGTTGCACAAGGTTTTGGGTTCTTAGGTGTTCTCAGGGAGGTGAAGAGTAACAACTGGAGTATGACGTGTGGGTAGGTATTTTAATATGAAGGTGGAGCCTGCCTCCTACTGTGACAAGTCACGTGGTCTAGAGGGGTGGTTGAATGTATTCAGTAAAGCCGTACGGGGGCGTCATATCCAATATTATACATTTTCTACTGAGTGAATCACCTGAAAGGGAACTGATGCTTAAACTGACATTCCAGCCATTCGTCTCTGAGGTTTTACATAAGAGCGTCATCTTTGTATGTTTGGCATTGAACATCCATACAACTCTAAGGGAAGTCAATTTACAAGCAAAAAACAACAGTCCTAAAATCAAACCTTGTGGAACTCCAGATTTGTTGTTTTTAAACGCTGATTTTATCTCGCTAGCTTTAACATGCTGATCTGTGTTTAGATATGAAATAGTCCAGTTAATAGCTGTTTAAGGGAATGAAATGCTTTAAATTCAATCAAAAAGGTCTAAGAAAACTGCTCCAACACCTTTTATCTGTAGATCTTATTTTATTTCTGTAAAATAAGCTATAAATAAAGTCAAGATCATTTAAAGCTGTTCCTCTAATCAGCCCTCTGCTGTGTGATGCTCTCCCATAGAGCCTGACATTCATAGGGAAGAAGACCACCAGCCTTAAGTTCAAAGAGAAAGCCACGGACCTCGACACCCGAAGTTACAAGTGCCTCCTACTCGCCCTGGTCAAACTTATCCATGCTGACCCCAAACTCTTGTTGCATGTGAGTTCACCAAAGGCTAAGTAATCAGGGCTCCAAGCCCTATTGTATTATACTTTCATGTCATTTTTCCTCCTATAATAATCCTCCAATAAAAGTACTTGTAGTCAGAAAATGCCTTGAGAAGTCTGGCATGGTACTCTGATAGAAAATACTTACCACTACTCAGATAAAAAAAAATCATATCCTGGAATGATTCTACGTAAACACTAAGAATGTTTTGCTTCATTTGTTGATGAATATTTTTGTATAAAATTACAAAATGTGTTCGGTAATAAATGAAGCAGCAGTTAACCTTTTAGTGGAACTTGGTACATTTCTAGAACAAGCCAACAAAACTGTATGAAGAAGGTTGGAAACAGCTGAAATATGTTTCAGAGTTGTCCAGGACATGACCACATTTGCTTGAAGTTAAAGTCCCGCTAGTTGTCACACATACTGGTTTGTGACATTTGTTCTCCGCATATGACCCATCCCCTGGGGGAGCGGTGAGCTGCAGACACGGCTGCGCCCAGGAACCATTAGGTGGTTTACCCCCCCAGCCTAACCCCTTAAAGCTGAGTGCCGAGCTGGGAGGTTTTGGGGGAATCCCAAGGCGTTCCCTGGCCAGGTGAGAGACATAGTCCCTCCAATGTGTCCTTGGTCTCCCTTTAGGCCCCCTCCCGGTTGGACGTGCCCGAAAACCTCACCAGGGAGGTGTCCAGGAGGCATCCTGACCAGATGCCCGAGTCACCTCAACTGGCTTCTCTCGATATGGAGGCGCAGCGGGTCTTCTCCGAGCCCCTCCCATATGACTGAGCTTCTCACTCTATCGCTAAGGGGAGCCCAGCCACCCCACAGAGAAAACTCATTTTGGCCGCTTGTAACTGCGATCTCATTCTTTCGGTCACTACCCAAAGCTCAGCTTTCTCAGTGGCCTAGTGGTAGAGTGTCCGCCTGAGACTGGGAGATCAGGGTTCGATTCCTGGTCGGGTCATACCAAAGACTTTGAAAAAATGGGACCCAATGCCTCCCTGCTTGACACTCAGCATTACGGGGTTGGATTGGGGGGTTAAACCCCAAATGGTTCCTGAGCGTGGCTGTGTCTGCAGCTCACCGCTCCCCCAGGGGATGGGTCAAATGCGGAGAACGAATGTCGCACACACACCTGTGTGTGTGACAACTAATGGGACTCTGGCTTTAACTTTAACTCATGACCATAGGTGAGGGTAGGAACGTAGATCGACCGGTAAATCGAGAGTTTCGCCTTCTGACTCAGCTCTCTCTTCACCACGACAGACCGGTACAACGCCTGCATCACTGCAGACGCAGCACCAATCCACCTATCGATCTCACGCTCCAGCTTTCCCTCACTCGTGAACAAGACCCCGAGATACTTAAACTCCTCCACTTGGGGCAGGACCTCGTCCCTGACCCGGAGAAGGCTTTCTACCCTTTTCCGATAGCTGGCTATATTAGATTTCACCTTTAGTTCAGTAAAACAAAAATATTTCATTAGGAGCACCACAGATCATTCACAGAATGGCTCCCTCTTGGCACTGAGAAGCTTTTCATACGTTTACCAAATAGGTGGTGCTGATACATTCAGAAATGCACTGTATTGATTATTTTTCTAGTTAATATTATTATAGATTTGTTTTCCAGAAAGCAAAGTCAGTTTAATAAATATATATTTTTTGGTGAGTGTGGTCAGTGTTTCCTGTCACAGCTCCTGTATTTGAGTTGCTCGTGTGAAGGTTGATTTTTGTGGCTGTGTGATAGAACCCAGTGAAGCAAGCTCCAGAGATGCAGAGCAGCACAGCTGAGCTCATCACTGGCCTGGTGCAACTGGTGCCTCTGAATACCCAGCTCGCACAAGAAGCCATGGAGGTCAGGCCGAACACACAGTGCATGCTCATGATGCCTCAGTTAATAATCCACTTCACCTTCCAAACATTTAGGAAAAGTTGCATCAAAGGCTCACATGTGAGCCCGTGTGGATGTGTTTCTTTCAAATGTAGCCACCTTTTTGTTTCTGCTGCCTTTGAATCTTCAGGCTCTGTTAGTTCTGCACCAGCCCGAGACCATAGAGCTGTGGAATCCCGATGCCCCTATAGAGACGTTTTGGGACATAAGGTACACAACACTCAGACTGGTTACTTTAGGACATTTTGTGACTCTTCTTTCTGCAGCTAGAGTTTTATTTTTATTTATTTTTTGCACTTTATTTGAAACAAAAGAAATGTAAAGAATGCAGTGTAGTGAGAGTTCAAGGTTGGTGAAAAATTGAGCATAATTGCATAAAAACATATTGAAATCCACCATGAGGCCAGCTTCGGTCGAGGAATATAAACACACATTTTGCATGTTTGATTCTTTCATTTAAATCCAAATGCACAAATTTAAATTTGGAATATCTAGATCCGATAGGGTCCAAATTCCGATCATGTGACCGTCAAATCATCCGTATCTGGTGGAAAAGATCCAATATAAACTTTTAAATTCATGCTAAGTTAGAGATTTTCATCTGTGATGACGTGGGCTTGGCTTTCCCCTACATGAATATGCATTGTCTGATGGACAACAAGAACAACGTAACGTCACACCTTCTACGGCACGAGTGAGGTGTTAGCTTGTAGGCTACAGACACATTGTTTGGAGTAAATTTATGAAGTATTTCTCAAAACGGTGGGACATTGGTCAGCTCTCATGCTGCTTCAGCCTACGGTTCTCTCAGGACTACACGTGTCATGGTGCCGAGTAGGTTAAGCGATCCTCTTTTCTAGTAGAACTACATTTTTTCTGGAAGTTCTCCAAAATTCTCCAAAACTTAAACTGTGATTTTATGAAAAACAGCAGATATCAAAATACCGCTTTAACATGTTTGAGCCCAAAGTGTCATGGCCCATTTAAACTATGAGTGACTTTTATACTGTAGGTCAAAACGCCTCCATACTCTGAGGCTCAAAGAACACATGGCTGATCTGAGGATCTGGCATTGTTTTCTATGGGGGTATTGGTGCATTGATTTTTGCTTACAAGGAAAGGCAGCTTTATTTTTTAAGCACATGTAATACACAGAGGCAATTCAAAGTGCTTTCCAATTAGCAAGAATAGCAAGAAGATTAAAATCAACGTGACAGCTAAAATATTAAAAAATACACAAATTAATTTCAGATTAAAGAATAAAAAAGACGAAGTTAAAGGGTGAGCAGTTACAGTGCAGAAGGTGCAGCATAAGAGACATTCAGTCAAAGGCTGATGAACACGTGTAAGTTTTACACGTTTTACGTGGTCACTATGATGTGTGTGTGTGTGTGTGTGTATGTGCACTCTTCCATTTGAGCCACATTAATGTATATGGAAGAATATAAAAAAGGACAATAATGGCTGCCTGTGAAGTCCTTGAGTTGGTGCTCGATAGATATTTAGGGTTCCTAATAACAAACATTCAGAAGAGCTGAGATTGTTTGGTGGACCACTTTACTTTGTAGTTAAAAGTTGGAAACTCTGAAAAAACAATTTTTAATGATTTTTTTCTGATTATAATTGGTCACTCAGAGTTTTTTGTGCAGACTGAACATGAAAATGGTCTCATCCTGCAGTAGCCTCTGATAGAAAATAGACGGTGAAACTCTAGGATCAGAAAATCCTGACAGATCTACGTCACACTGTCACTTAACAATCATGGACTCACCCACCTTGACTTACGACAGGGACGGCTGTTGTTGGTTTAGTGTCCTGGAAACGGCAGAGAATATTCCAACTAATATAAGCTAACCATTATCATTAGCAACACCACTACACAGCATAACTCCTCCAGGCTTGTGTTAAGATGTCCAAATACCAGGAAAGAAGACTCCAGATTCTGTCATCTGAAGCCACTCTCTTCCCCAGCTGATTGTACTTCCTGAAACGGGCACACCCCCGAGTACGACTTACAAAGCGTTAACTCCTAGTAGCGAGCACTGCAAATGTACTGATTAAACGAGTGTTCCACATATTTAATCTGTTTCTACGTATTAATGCTAATACATTTTAGATAATCGGGTGCTGAGGGCAGTGACACGAGTCTACCTTTCTGAATTCTCTGAGTCTTTTCTGTCTTCTCTCAGTTCACAGGTGCTTTTCCTAATTTGCCGCAAACTGATTACCCAGCAGCTGTTTAACGGGACAGAAGTTCTTAAATGGCTGAGGGAGATCCTCATCTGCAGGAACAAGTTCCTGCTGAAGAACAAGGTTATTCATCTTCTGACCTATGGCAGCATGATACCAACACAATGTGTCTACATAACAGCGGTGTTTCCACTACTGGAACTTCAGGGTAGATTTACAGGAACCTCCCAGCATGCACGTTTCCACTTGACCGGCCGGTCGAACGGCCGTTTTCAGAATTTTTCTGAGTTCCTGATCAGAGGTAGGTACTCCGAACGTCCCGGTGGAGTAGCTGGAGATTATAAAAAGATTTTTTTTTTGTGAAAAATCAGCATGTTTACCTTTTCCACCTTCAGCGTGGGACGTGGGACGCGACGGTGGCACAGGAGATAAGTGCTCGTCCCGTAATCGGAAGGTTGCAGGTTCGAGTCCTGCTCAGTCTGTCGCTGTCGTTGTGTCCTTGGGCAAGACACTTAACCCACGTTGCCTGCTGGTGGTGGTCGGAGGGACCGGTGGCGCCTGTGCTCGGCAGCCTCGCCTCTGTCAGTGCACCCCAGGGAAGCTGTGGCTACATTGTAGCTCATCCCCACCAGTGTGTGAATGGGTGAATGACTGATTGTGTTGTAAAGCGCCTTGGGGGGTTCCAGGACTCTAGAAGGTGCTATATCAAATACAGGCCATTTACCATTTACCATTTACATTGTGGACCGACTGCTGACAACCCCATATTGTCGTTCTTTTATTAAAACACAGAAACAGTTTTGTTACCTGTTGACGCTACGTTTCGCCGACGGCTGCCGGCTTCTTCAGGCTGACGCTGATGGTGGCGCGTCCCTTCCTTCTCCGTTTATCTGCGGGCAGCAGAGGACGTTGTCGCCCTCTACTGCCCGCTCTCCCCTCTCCAACGATGCGGTCCCATGCGTGGTCCAGCGTGTAAACTCCGTCGTCCCTGTTCATGGTCCCACATCCACGTCTCCTTATCTCGATTGCTGGATCTGAAAATCACCAGGCAGACCGACGGGACCCTAAACATAAACACATACAGGAAACCAACACACACAGACCAATATCTATTATGGACATCAGAACACCCCACCATACACAACATGTCAGTAATCAGAACATTATATCACCGAGCAAACATGGTAACAGAAGAGAGAGACCGTAAACAAGAGGACAAACACATACAACACGCTTTAAAGACCTGCAGATACCCGACATGGGCAGTAAACAAAGGAAAACAACAAACAACAACAGAAAGCAAAGAACAACCTAAGCAAAGAACCAGAAACCCAGAAAGACAAGAACCAGAACCAGTGATAACCCTACCATACATCAGAGGCATAACGGAAAAAATAAGAGCAACAATGAAAAAACACAACATAAACACACCAACAAAACCATACACAACAGTTAGAAACAGACTAGTGCACCCAAAAGACAAAATACCAGCTGGACATAAATGTGGAGTCGTTTACCAAATCCCATGCAAAATATGCAATCAAACATACATAGGAGAACCCGGACGCCAACTCAACACACGGACAATAGAACACAGAAAGGAGTGCGAGAAAGAGGCAAATCGAAAACACACAAGAGCAGCCAAAGAAGAAGCAGAAAGTACAATAAAAAAGTCAGCCGTAACAGATCATTGCTTAAGAGAAAACCATATAATGGACTGGGACAACACACGGATCATAACCACCGAACAACAGAAATACAAAAGATGGATCAAGGAAGCAATCGAGATAAGGAGACGTGGATGTGGGACCATGAACAGGGACGACGGAGTTTACACGCTGGACCACGCATGGGACCGCATCGTCGGAGAGGGGAGAGCGGGCAGTAGAGGGCGACAACGTCCTCTGCTGCCCGCAGATAAACGGAGAAGGAAGTGACGCGCCACCATCAGCGTCAGCCTGAAGAAGCCGGCAGCCATCGGCGAAACGTAGCGTCAACAGGTAACAAAACTGTTTCTGTGTTTTAAAAAAGAACGACAGCATGGAATTAGAACGACACAGCAAGAACACACCTAAGATGCTGACAACCCGTTTCGATAAGCTTGTGGCACTTGACATCTGGGGAAGGTTGGCAGCATTTTTTCCATCAGGAAGTGCGTTGTCTCCTTTAATAGCAAGCTCCAAACAGAAGTCTGCAATTTCAGCTCCGGTTTCCTCTGCTGATGGGCCTGCATCTTTCGCTGCCATCTTTTGTTTACACAAATGACCTCATCAGTGTTTACTGGCTCACCTTTTAAGTTTGCTTCGAACCAGAAATACCCCCAAACTGCAGACGTTGTGCTCATTTTAGACACCAAGTCTGCTGGTGCACAAGCTGCCTTTTTTCTCCTCAGAGAGTTTTTTCGTGGTCACGTGATGACATCACATCCATGAGCTTTATGGAACAAAACATTTGAAACTATTCATGTAAAACTGAAATTCAACCGTGCACTCGTGTTATACATTAAATGACTTTAGTTTATCTTTTTTATTAACTTTTATTTTTTGGTAACACTTTAGGGAACACAAATTAACCATTAAATAGCTGCCAATTAATATGCATATTAGTGGACTACTAAGTCTGAACTAGTCATTATTAAGCACTTATTAACAACTTATTACTAATGCTGTAATTCTAACAAATAACAGGCCATAAATTAAGAGTTTTAACAAAATAAGCCATTCTTAATGGTTTAACTGAAAATAAATGGTTTGTTGCTCATTTACACATATACTAGTTAGCTCCAATCAATATGTGGCTTTTAATGAGGTAATTCAAGGGGAACATATTGCCTTAAAGTGGTTTATTAATACTAAAGTACTAGTAATCAGGTATGAACAAAATCTGTCTTTAGAATGGGGAACGGATTCTTGCTTGCAAGTGGTTAATTGATTGTTGTTTAGGCTCTATCAACATGTGGAGTTTGGTGTTTATTTACATAATGCCAGAACATAATATTTTTGGTTATGAACTATTCCCCTTGAATTACTTCGTTAAAAGCCACATATTGATTTGAGCTAATTGGAATGTGTGTTAATCCGCAACAAACCATTATGAATGGCTTATTTTGATAAAACCCTTAATTTATGGCCTGTTAATGTTAGAATTACAGCATTGGTAATAAGCACCTAATAGCTTAATAATGACTAATTCAGACTTAGTAGTCCACTAATATGCTTATTAATTGGCAGCTAATAATGGTTAATTTGTGTTTCCTAAACTAAAGTGTAATCTTCTTTTTCATCCTAGTCTACATGTACAGTTTTTATCATGACGCTACTGGAACTGACACCGTTGCTGTTGTTTTAACACAGACTTTAAACGGTAATACCATAATGCTGCCTAAGTCATCCTGATTGGTTGTAATTCAGTAGGAAATGACATCAGCAGATGTCCAAAACAACCTGCATTAGTACAATCAGAAGAGTTGCTGGTGAAGCAGACTGGAAGCAAAAGAAAATAATCAGACTTAAGATCTAACTCACGACACCGCGCCCCCCCCCCCCCCCCCCCCACACACACAACCTAATTAACGGGGCTTTGTTGTCTCACAGAACACTAAAAAAATGGCATTACTTCTAGTCATTGAACACCACATTTTACATCGCACAGCTGCTCACGTCCTCTGAACGAATTAAATTATGATTTACTTCAACAGAGTAAATGATTTTAATGTTCTGTGGATGCTTTTTGGCGCTCATCAGTGACTTCACTCACTACCAAATTAGATGCGATAAGCTGCCGTCTGTGCAAAGGTCTGAAAGGGCTGAATTTGAATGGTGACACAACAGCTGAGAGGACTGGGACATCCCATCTCCCTGTCCCAGGAACTACCCTAGAGTTCCGGTAATGGAAACACAGCTAACACAGCTCTTTGCGTTGTTAGCAAGAGTAGCTAAAGCTAGCCATGACCAGGTGAAAGGAGCTAATCTGAGACAGTTGTCAGAGTTGTTTAATTGGTTTTATGTTGTGATTCCAGGACTGTGCCACTATGGGTGCTGGCATTCCCCTTTGTTGGCAGGCTCAAACCAAGCTGGAGGTCTGTCTCTACATGTTTCTGTGGAGCCCAGACACCGAGGCTGTGCTGGTAGCCATGTCCTGCTTTCGCCATCTCTGTGAAGAGGCTGATATCCGCAGCGCAGCTGATGAGGTGCCCGTCCAGACGATTCTGCCTAACTATGCTACCTTCAGTGAACTGGCCTCTGTTAGCACCATGATGGGAACGGGTCAGTACCATCCGTCCGTCTGTCTGTCTTCATTCCCCAGTTTTAAGTCAGATATTTTATTTTATTATTGGGAGAGGTGGAAACATAATTTCAAAGCAGGAATAACAACCAAATCATCTGTTTGTGCTAATTCACTCTAACTATAACAGATCTTCCACAAGGAGGTTTTAGATTCCACCAGTGAAATATTTAAGTTGATCAGAAATATAAGAGTTTTCTGTTAGCTATTATTATTTGAGCTGAACTGAAATGGGTTCTTATCTGTGCCAGAAAGCATTGTTGTCCCATAAACCAGATTCAGTGTAATTTCTAGTTAAATGAAACTAAAAACCGAGTGAATCAAGCTTTGTTTGATATGTTGTAGTTAAATTCCTGTTTTGGGGGTAGATGCAGACTCGACTGATGCTCAGGGCGAAAACATCCAGACTCCGTCTTTAATTATCTGATCAGCTGGAGTTTGTAGCTCCTTACAGCTCATCAGAAATCACCATGCACACAAGTACAGGTAGCTCTAGAAAAAGTCTGGGAGGACTCACTCTGATTTGGAGCTGCATTTGAGATAGATAGAGCTGGAAGAGTGCATGGGTGAGTGCACTGGCAGCTGTTCACCTGTAGATGGCACAAAAGAGCCAGAATCCAGCATTCAGCTCTTAAGCAGATGTGTGTGTTTCTTCAGCACAACATCTAATCTAACATAGATCCAATAGCACAGTGGAGTGGTTAAAAAGAAAAGAAAAAGTCCAGATCTAATGATGGGAAACTACAGAGCATGTGTAGTTTGAGATGGGTGCAGGAAGCTTTTAAAGGAAGATGGGTAACAAAAACCATCTACAAGCATGTTTGACTGCTCTGCTTGGGTATTTTACTGGAATGTCAAAATATGTTTGTGATGCATTTAATTAGTAGCAACATGACTGAGGTCTGATTGTGCTGATGCCCCCACTGTGACATGCAGTGCATGCATGAGAGTAAAGAATGTGTTGGTCATGAGCCATCGTCAGTCAAAGGGGTAGAGCCATCAGCTGAGTGGATCCACTGATCTACAGCTGAGGGAAACGAGACGTAGACGTATGAAAAGCCAAAAATGCATTTCTGATTATTTTTTTCCACACATTTTTTCCAGGTGAGTTCAATTTTATTGTCCCTAATAAGGAAAAGTGAAACATGCACGGTCCACACATATCAGCATCATTACCCTCTTCTTCTTCTGGCTCTTGGAGACTACAGATGCTTTTTTCTCCTCTCCCTCCCTCCTCATCCCAAGGTTCTTTGTCTGTCTTTGTGTGCACGGTGCTTTCTGCATCTTTTCTGGAAACTGGAAATAATTAAACATGGACCTGGTCAGTTGGTCTCTCAACGCAATTGACTACATTTTTTCAACGATGAGAACGGGAGAAGGGGCTCCCGGATGTCCCTCTGGGACAGAGCCAGCTGGGTATATCATGGACTCCTGGAAACAGTGGAACCTGATCTGCCTCTCTCAGCTATGTGTAGAGGATTCTGAAGACGTCTGGATATCCGTTGTTTTGGTACTGGAAAATTAACGAGCTTTCAAGGAATATTGGCTCAATCCCGGAGCTCAGGGATGGCATGCATCGCGCTGTGAACACACAAACTCATATAATTGTTGAGATGAGTCGTAAGCTTGGAACTTTGGCTCTGGCTTAGAAGGTGGATTCCATCAAGGAGAGAGTTGACGGATCAGCACGGATTGGGATAGATTAATTACGCCATTATTGGATCTGGAGGGGTCATAGGCCAACAGAACTCCAAGGCAGAGAGGAAATTATCTCTGTCTGTACCCAAAACAATTCTTATCTGAATCTGGTGTCCTTGGAGCCTGTGAGGCTGAAGTGAAACCCCCTGCCACCTCAGAAGAAATGTGGAATGCTGCCGTCGCTATGCCCTTTCTCCCTATCCCAGCCTGGGCGGGACTGTGACCGGTGAAGGCCGTGGAACCGTATCTAGGAGTCATTGTGCTCTCTAACCCATTATCTCCCTCCCCTGTCCAAACGGAGGTGATGAGTGCTGCCCCATGCGGCTGCATGCACTGATGTGAGGAGAGTCCCAAACCCCACCACCCCACCTAGTGGACACTTCTGTTGTGTAACGTCTGAAGTCTGTTGCATTTCTGTCTGAGGTGTTTTTTGCAGAGCAAAGCTGCCCTCCCTGGTGAGGGTAACTCTGAAGTGCCTTTTTTCCCTCCCCCTGACTCTATCCTCACTTAAACCCTTTTGATCTATAACGGTCGCGCGACTCGGGTTGCGAATGACCACAGTCACCAATTCTTGTCTTTGCCTATGTACGTACGTCTGATCTCAGAATTGTGTGTACTGAAACTCTAATTTCCCTCTGGGATTAATAACGTATCTTTGAATTGAATTGTGTAAGATGATTGTTAAAAATGAAAGATAAAAGGAATGAACACAAAAAAGAGAAATGGCCTGCATTTATAGTACTTGTAGTATTGAGTCAGAGTTGTCAAAGTACTTAACACAACAGTCATTCACCCATCCTGTATTATAGCACAGCTGCCCCGGGGCTCCACTAACCCCTCCAACCACCAGCAGGCAATGAGGGTGAACTGTCCTGACCAAGGACACAATGACTGACACAGACAGCCTGGGTTTGAACCGACAACCCACCAGTTACAAGGCAAACTCCTAACCCCTGAGCCACGTCACCCCTAACGGATATGAATGATGGAGGCTTTATTAGTATTTTAGTCCCGGGCTGAGCAGCTCACAGCTCTGTGATGTTCTTCAGTCTGTTCTGGTCATTCTGCTGCTTTTGTTAACTTTCTGCTTTGTTTTTTAGGCCGGCCCACTTTACAGAAACGGGTGATGGCTTTGCTGAGAAGAGTAGAGCACCCCACACCTGGAAACATGGAGGTACTGCTCAGTGTTGTTCTGGTGTGCTTGCATCTTGTTAGTCACGACTGCCATGTGAGCATCTTTAATTTGGTAACAATGAGCTGACGACACATTTGTAAAGTGAATAATTCTGAACAAGATTCTGCTCACATCCTGGGAAGTCACCTTGATATTTTTCACCCCAGACTAGGGTTGTCACGGTAACCGGTGCAACGGTAAACCCCGGTAAAAAAGTTGACAATAATAATAACCGTCATGTTTTTTAAAACTATATTATCTCGTGGATTACCGTAGGCGCGGTGACCCTTACCAGCCACCGTATCACCTGCTGAATTTGCCGGCAGCACATGCGCACTTTGTTGTTTACAACCAAAACTTTCTTGAAGCTAAAGCTGAAATAATGGCCAAAGGAGGAGACGGCAGCACTCAGGACATTTATTATCCCTCAAAGAAGACAAAGTGGGAAGTACGGGCATCTTTTGGATATGTGAAGAATGCCGAGGGTCAGTTGATAGAAGACGGCTATCCTGTTTGCAGCACGAGCAGAAAAAGTGTCTGTGAAAGGCAGCAACGCTTCAAATCTCATGACACATCTGCGTGACCATCACCCACAACTCTACAGTCAACGCAAGGCAAGCTAACGTTAGCGTTTTAGCTAAAATGCGTGATCCGAGGATTTGGGTTGAGGGAGAATGCAACGAGTGGCTATATAAAGCAGCCGCAGCGCCGCTACCTGCATATAAACCGTGTCGCGGACACCGCCATGTTGAAATGACGCTACGCATTACGGGGCTCCCAGGGGCCGATAAGAGTTGGTCTCTCTCCGAGAATAATTATGAATTTATGACATTTCCCCACATCTGCAAAGCTCACTGGAAGGACACAAACCGAGGACGATATTTTCCTGATATAGGGTTTATTACTCAAGTAAGGGTAAAAAAGTATCTGATTAGAAGGCTACTTGAGTACTGAGTATCATCTGGTCTAATATTTTTAAAATGATGACATCAAACAGACATAAAATAAGAAGTTATGGGCAAATATTGGTATTTTAAAGACTAAAGGGGAAAACTGTAAACAAATAAACATAATTACAAAATAACACATTTTAGGCTAAATTTAGACACAAACTGAGGACAATATTTTCCTGACATACAGGGTTTATTTAATTGTGTGAAAATGTAACATGTTTAAAAAAATACCGCGATAATACCGAAAACTGTGATAATTTTGGTCACAATAACCGTGAGGTTACATTTTTACACCGTGACAACCCCAGTGCAGAGTCTGTTTTCATGTCTAATTATTCATAATTTTCTTTCTCCTTTAGGCTTGGGAGGACACACACACTAAATGGGAGCAGACCACCAAACAGATACTCAACTTTCCCAAAAACAAGGCTGATGATGGCCAGGTACGCATGGCTCTGAAAACGTCATGGTCTCATTAAATATTTTGGCAGCAAAAACAAAGATGTTGTGCTTGAGGATGCTGTTGTGAACCGTCTGGATCACATCAGATGTGGAAGCCTCACGATGCGCTGTGAAGCACCGTGGATGGAAGAGCGCTTCTGTTTGGCGCCCTTGTTTCCTTCTGTCTCCATCAAATCAGCTGTTATGTGTGACAAAGTCTCGCGCTGGGCAGCAGTCATTTCGCCGTGTGCTCTTACGTTTTTCGCGTGCCGTCTGGGCAGGAAGTCAAACCAATACAGAAGAGGCAGGCTGATAAATTTAACTAAATAAAGAAATGTTTCAAAATAAAACACCACGATTGAAAAATGTGATAATTTTTGTGCATGTTAACAGACTAGAGAAATAAAAATGAACAAAGACACAAACATACACACACAGTCCTGCGGAGAAACCACATTTCCATCATTTTAAATGCATTTTTTACATGAAAAGATGGATTTCATAGATGTGATTACAAACAAATACATTTAATTGGAAAACAGTAGGCGTGAGCAGAAGCACTCATCACAAATTCTCGCCTGATGTGAACAGAGGAACAGCGCGCACATTTGGTGAGGATCCGCTTTGCAGCTGATGTGATCCTGGCGCTACGCTCCATTCTAGCCACACAGACGTACAACGGCTCCTGTGAACCAAGCTATAGTCGTTTTTCTATTTGCTAATGTTGTTCACCTGTAGCGGCCATCTTGAGTCAGTTGTAGAGGAGCATCTGGAAATTGTTTTGGATTCAGAAGCACCCAACTATTTCTGAAAGAACAGGCAAACATGGACCCTTGCTGGTTCTGTGCTGCTCACAGTGTCTCTGCTCTCCAACAGCAGGAGTGGATCAACATGACGGGCTTCCTGTGCGCTCTGGGGGGGGTGTGTCTTCAGCAGCGCAACACCCCAGGTCCAGCCACTTACAGCCCTCCTATGGGGCCCCTGAGTGAGCGTAAACCCTCCATGATCTCCATGGGGCCCGGCGACATATCCAACACCATGGCTTCTTCTTGCTCTTTATCTGCTTCCAATGAAACCCCCGTGGGCCGCTTCCTGGACAGGCTGCTGGCGCTGCTCGTCTGTGGGCACGACCGGGTCGGCCTCCACGTTCGCACCAATGTTAAAGACCTGCTGGGTCTTGAGCTCAGCCCAGTCCTCTACCCCATGCTCTTCAACAAGCTGAAGAACAGCATTGGCAAGTTCTTTGACACCCAGGGATCGGTAAGAGCAGCTGTGTGGGGGTTTGTGACAGACCACTGCTCCACATGTAGCTTCACTCCACTAAGATATAAATCCTCTCACCACTCATCTATGACTGGTGACACAAAATAACAAGAGAAATATTAAAATCTGTATCTACTTCACAGAGTTTTCCCACACCTGCCTAAATGTTTGCACACCACCCTGTGTATGCACACGTTTGCTGTGTCTGTCGCCCGTGCCTGGGCTGGTCTGATGTGTGTTACTAGCACTCATGGCTCTGATCTCTTAGGTTCCTATCAACGACACAAACACCCAGTTTGTGGAGCAGACCATAGCCATCATGAAGAACCTGCTGGATAGTCACACAGAAGGCAGCTCTGAACACCTGGGACAGGCCAGCATCGAAACCATGATGCTCAACCTGGTCAGGTAACAATAGGTTATGACATCCACCCCAGAGGAAAATCCTCGAAATGATGGAAGTCCAACATGCAGGGCACCTGAAACGGTTTCTGTTTGCTCAAACACAATCAAAGGATGTTTTAGGTTTTCACTCAAAAGTAAAAACGGAAGCACAAAGAAAGGTCCGGCCACTGATCAGGGCGTGGTGTTCCATGTGTCACCTAAGTTAGAGACTCGTGTAAACGGGGTGGTGCGCTCTTGCTTCTTCCATCTTCGCCTTTCCAGGATCGAGCTGTGCACACTTAATGCCTAGACTACTGCAACTCCCTATACTCGGGCGGTGGCCAGGCTGCACTAGCCCGGCTCCAGTTTGCCCAGAATGCTGCAGCTGGATTCCTGGTAGCCACTAGGATGCAGGAACGTATCACTGCTGTCTTAGCTCATCTGCATCAGCTTCCAGCTGGTTTTACGGTCAGGTTTAAGATGCTTGACTTTGTTTTAAGTCCCTGCAGGGCTGTGCTCCAAGCTATCTGTCTGACCTACTCACCCGGTACAACCCTTAACGTGCACTCAGGGAGCACAGCAAGACTTAATAGTGGTTCCACGTGTGAACTGCTCGACTAAAGGAGACAGGGCGTTCTCGGTCTTGGCCTATAAGCTGTGAAACGACCTTCTGCTGGAGGTCAGACAAGCATCTTCGCTGCTGCTTTTTAAGAATCAGAAGAAGACTCTTTTATGCTGTGGCGTTCCCTCAGCACGCATTTTAGCTATATCTATAGATAATTGAGCCTGCTGTTGTTTTACTAAATCTCTTGTTTTTATTTGTTTTTATGTGTGTTTGTTGGCTCTTGCAGGGTCCATCGTAGTTTTAATGTCTTCTTTTATGTGTGTACACCACTTTGGTTCATCTCCTGGTCGATGGACAGTGCTATAGAAATAAAGTTGATGATGTTTTTTCTGTGAGAGGCAGTAAGAAAAGCCTCGGCTTCAGAGTGTGGAATGCCAGGGGTGTAATGGTTAGCAGAGCTGTGACATGAAAATCTGAGTGAGGGAGGACCAAATCTAAACTGTGGATGTGTCAAAGATGACTTCTCCATCTGCACAACGTCCAGAAGGGAAGTTGATTTGATCGTGGGTCTGTTTTCATCCACTCAGGTATGTGCGCATCCTGGGGAATGTGGTCCATGCGATCCAGATAAAAACCAAGCTGTGCCAGCTGGTGGAGGTGATGATGGAGAGACGAGATGACCTGTCCTTCTGTCAGGAGATGAAGTTCAGGTAAGTTGGGTTTCAGTCATTTTCGCATCTTTTTGATTGTTTTTTGTTTTCTAACTGCAACAGCTTCTCATGTGGGTTTCTCTTATGCTGTTTCCTGCAGGAACAAGATGGTGGAGTACCTGACAGACTGGGTGATGGGAACCTCCAACCAAGCTGCTGATGATGACATCAAGTGCCTGACGAGGTGCAGCTTCTTGCATATGTTTAACTGAATGTACAGTTTGGACCTGAGCGCCTCGCTTATGCCCTTCCTTTGTTTCATGTGCAGAGACTTGGACCAGGCCAGTATGGAGGCAGTAGTCTCCCTGCTGGCGGGTCTGCCTCTGCAGCCTGAGGAGGGAGATGGAGTAGAACTGATGGAGGCTAAATCTCAGCTCTTCCTAAAGTAAGAACATCTGGAATTACCCTCAAATTCTTTCTGACACTCTGTTCACCTACACTTCAGATTAAGTTAACCAAAGCATACGGTCGAAACCAGGAAATCATAATCTAGAACGGGGTCAGAAATCCTGGTCCTCGACTGGTGTTGTCCGTCATGTTTTAGTTGTCTGCCTGTTCCAATACACCAGAGTTTAATCAGCAGGTGATTAACAGGCTTCTGCAGGGCTTGATAACCTAGTGAACAGGTGTGTTGGAGCAGGGAAAAAAACCAAAGCGTGCTGGATAGTAGTGCTTGAGGTCCAGGATTGCCTACTCCTGGTGTAGAATCAGGCTGACTCCAAGCATTAATCTGAAAATTTCATTAAGGTCTCTCCAGTGGTTTATGTGATTGTTTTAGGTTTACTGCAGTGTTTTACGAAGGTTGTACATAACATTTGAAATCCAGTAGAACAGTATTTAACTTTTTGCACATTTTCGTGCAGCCATTGTGGTCTCTACCGCCTCTTTAAACACCCCAAACATAAAATAACATATAGGGCACAACTTAAAGGCACACTATGCAACTATTTTATATTTTAAAATCATTTTCTTGAGCCACTATGTGCTAAAATGACCCTTTACAGGGTTAATGAAATGTCACTCAGACCCCTGTGGCCAGAATATCACACTTCAATTCAATTCAAAGATACTTTATTAATCCCAGAGGGAAATTAGAGTTTCAGTACACACACTTCTGAGATCAGACATACGTACATAGACGATGACAAGAATTGGTGACTGTGGTCATTCGCAACCCGAGTCGCGCTACCTTAATAGAGATCAGAGGGTTTATATGAGAATTCTTCTTCTTCTTTCGGTCTTTCTTTTGGTTTATAGCATTAACTTAACATTTTTCTTTTCAAACAAAACAACAATATTAACAACTTGAATTTAAACCAAAAAAGGAAGAGGCAGAAGCAATGCTTATTTTAGCCTACCCTGTTTTCCACCTAAGATACATAACCAACATACATTTCTTTTATTTTCCCCAATATAAATAACCACAATGAAAATTCATTAATGTCTATACATACTTTTCATACCCTGTAAATATGTGACACTTTACACCTGCTTTAAACTTTAGTAAAGAAGTACATTTCTTCAAATCATCGTCTAACTCGTTCCACAATTTCACACCAACAACAGAGACACATCTTGATTTCACATTAGTTCTGGCTTTTACACATTCAAACATAAATACACCTCTGAGATTATAATGATCATCTCTTGGTTTGAAATAAACGTTTATGCAATTTGGGATATTATTGTTAACTACTTTATGAAGACTCTCTAAGATTTTTACTTTAATAATATCTCCTAATTTTAGCGTTTTAGTTTGACTAAATAGATAATGGGTTGGTTCGAGGTATCCCAATTTATTAACTATTCTAATCGCCTTTTTTTGTAATTTAAATACAGTCTCAACACAGGTTTTACCAGCATTTCCCCAAACCTCTGCACAGTAAGACAAATAAGGCATAACTAAAGAGCTATAAATCAAAAACAAGGCTTTTTTATTTAGTACATCACTAGTTTTATAAAGTATAACAATAGATGTAGACACTTGCCGTTTGATATATTTGATATGTGGTTTCCAACTGAGTTTACTATCAATAATCACACCGAGGAATTTAGTTTCATATACTTGTTCAATTGGGACTCCATTTAAATACAGCTTAGCACCGTCATTGTCCCTTTTCCCTGAAAATATCATAAATTTGGTTTTATTTTCATTTAGTGATAGGTTGTTGCAATCAAACCATTTTTTTATTGAACCCAATTCATTTTCAACCTCTTGTAATAATTTACTTATATCTTTTCCCATACAAATAAAATTAGTATCATCTGCAAACATAATACATTTTAACCGAGACGATACAGAAAAGATGTCGTTCAGGTATAGGTTGAATAATTTCGGTCCTAGCACCGAGCCTTGCGGTACACCACATATTACTCTTTCAAGCTGTGAATCTATATCATTAACATTTACATATTGAAATCTACTGCTTAAATAACTTTCAAGCCATTGATTGGTTTTACCACGAAGACCATAGTATTCACATTTCTTGAGCAGGTATGTGTGATCAATTGTATCAAATGCCTTACTCAAGTCAATTAAGACAGCCACCACATGAAGTTTTTGATCCACTGCTGTTGCAGTCTGCTCTACCAAATCCATAATTGCTAATGAGGTTGAACGATTCTTCCTAAACCCATACTGATGGTCGTTGAAAAGATCAAACTTGTTGGTAAATGCTTCAAATCTAATTACAAAAAGTTTCTCAAGTATCTTTGAAAACTGTGGCAGTGAAGAGATAGGTCTATAGTTACAAGCTAATAATTTATCACCACTTTTATAAATAGGAATAACTCTGGCTATTTTGATTTGTTCAGGGACTGTGCCACTTGAAAATGATTTATTACAAATATAAGTAAAAGGTTCAATAATGCAATGGATAACCTCCTTGATGAGAGACATATCCATCCCATGAAAATCTAAGGACTTTTTACTTTTGAAACTATGTACCGCTTGGATCACATCACTGTGGCTTACACTGCTCAAAAACATTGTATTATTATTTTTATTTATTTCATGGTTAATGTCAACTTCTGGCAGCTTTTTAGCTAGATTAGGGCCAACATTCACAAAATATTTATTAAACTCATTTGCAATGTTCTTTCCATTTTTATTGTGAATATCTATACCTGCTTCTTTTGTATTTCTTATTAATTTATTTAACATATTCCATGTACCCTTAATATTATTTTTGTGTTTTAGGAAAAGCTGATCATAATATTCCTTTTTTTGCTTCCTTATTATTGTAGTTAATTTGTTCTTATATTCCTTATACCTTTTTTCTTTTTCCTTTGTTGGATTTTTTATAAAATCCAGATACAGCGATTTCTTTTTCTGGCAAGCCCTTTCCAATCCCCTAACAATCCAGGGTGGGGACCTTTTTTTTAAAGTTGTGCTTATGATATTTTAGAGGACAATGTTTATCATAAGCTCCCAAAAATATTTCAAGAAATGCATTATAAGAATTATTAACATCATCAACATAAACATCAGTCCAGTCAGAGCAAAGCAGTTCATATTTCAGAGCTTCAATTGCAACAGGAGTTTTTTTCTAGTTGTGGTATAATTTACATTTTCCAGAGATGTTTCATCACTTCTCATCATTTCCACCACAGTAAACACCGGTAAATGATCAGCAATATCAGTTAAAAAAAGGCCATTCTTTGTCTTGATGTCAGATTGATTTATGAATATATCGTCAATCAGTGTAATACTATCGGCTGTTATCCTGCTTGGTCTCAGTATCAACGGAAAGTAACCTAAACTAAACATTAAATTGATCAATTCAGCTATTTTAGTATTATCATCTGATTTAAACAAATCAGTATTAAAATCACCACAAATTAAAGTCATTTTTTTCCTACATTGCCCAAATAATGTTTCAATACGTTCATTAAACTGATCTATAGAAGAACCAGGACTACGATACATACAACTTATAATGATGTTTCTGGAGTTTTTACACTTAATTTCAATGTCAGACACTCCATCAAATTCTCAACAATGAAGGTCATATTCGTTAGTATCGAACAATCAAAACCAGTCCTAACAAAAAGTGCTACCCACCCCCTCTTTTGTTTTGTCTGCTCTGAGTAAACATTTCATAGCCACCCAGTTTATTCAATAAGTCTTTTCCATCTTTGGTCCAGGTTTCTGAAATTGCAACTACTGTAAATTTCTCCTTGAACTTATTTAGGTAATCTGAGATCTTAGATAAATTGTTGTAGAGACTTCTGCTGTTAAAGTGTATTAATGAAAATCCACACATACTCACTTTGAAGTCCTCTACAATATAACATTCACAGTCCAGGTGGGTGTTGCTGCAACCTTTAATTTCTGAGTCAACTCCATTATCGATCAGATTTGATTTATGAGCTACATCACTGACAAACCTAAAAAATCTATTGATTCCTGATTCTTGTAGTCTGCTGTGTCCATGAACTAAATACCATCTTCTTCTCATCATTTAAGTTTTTCCACTTCAGAGAGGCTCCTGATGCTCACCACCTTAGCCTGTTCTGGTGGTCCATTAAGCTTGATCATTACTGTACAGTTCCTTATCCGGGAATCCTGTATTTTCCTCTCCTTCTTCAGAATTCTTGCTTGCCAGGCAATCTCTGCATTCTTCTTTGTCAGGTGCTCATTTACATACACTCCTGTGCCCTTAAGCTTCTTTACGACCTTTAACAAGTCAAATTTGTTTCCTGCTCACAAACTGAATTATTGTTTTTTGCTTTTTTTCCAGTTTTTTAGGAATTGTGTAGCATGCAGCTGTCGTGGTGCTGTCAATAGAAATGCCCTTACTTCCAAAGAACTGAATAACTTGTTTCTCCAGTGACAACAGTTCTTCTGCTGGCGCATCCTCTCCAGCATTTCCTCCAGAAGCTGCCCGTGCATACGTACGATGTGTAGTCTCCAGGCCTGAAATCACCACCTCCTCCATTCTTGCACGTTGCTCCAGCTGCTCCACTCTGTTTTCAAGCTCTTCAATCTTCTTCTCTTTCTCTTTAATCATTTCCCTCAGATTTTGTACTTCAACTATAAGTTTCATCAAATCACTTTGTTGTGTCACCACTTTAGTTAGTTCACCTGACATAAAGTTTAGTGACTTCTTGATTTCATCCAAATCTTTTTCCATTTTCTTAGCCATTGACAGATTAGCAGGGATGGATTTCCTTACCATCCAGTAGGCCTCAGAAGGCAAAAGGTGCTCCACAGTACAAGTATAAAAAAAATAGTCCCAAAGTTTTTTTTATTTTTTTTTTTATTTTTACCATGTCCTGTCTGGCGGTGAAGCAAGCAGAATTGATGTCTGAATGCTGGTAACAAGCCTTACAGATTTATTCTCAGGTGGAGCATCAAAGCGTCTGCTTTTAATGTCACGCCTGATACCTAAAACTTTATTGTTATTGTTGTTGAATGCTTTGTAATTCCGACCAGACACGGAGACAGAGGTGAAAGAGAAAGGAAAAGAAAAGGTGGGGAGAGAGGGGGGGGGGGGGGGGGGGGTTTCCACAAAAATAAACAATGAACAACAGTCTGCTTCTAGACCTGCAGAAAAAGACACAAAAAAAGGGACACAACAACAATACAACAAGATCAAGTTATCACTGCGTCAAATTGTTGAAGAAAATGTATAATCAACATTGTTTAACTGAAGAATCACGATAATAAATCACAGTGCATTAAGTGCCCACCATGGTCTTAAGACCTGTGTTTAACGTGCCCAAGCCCATACTTTTGAGAGCACCATGTGAGCACCTGTGTGTGTACACGCGCTTGTTTATGTAAGGTTTCTCTATAGGAGCGTCCAACAGAGAGTGTGAGGGACCACAGATCCGCCCCCCAAAGATGCGCAGGAGACGGGGGGAGCTCCAAGTCCCAGAGATCCAGGCGTTGCCCCAGAACACAGGAACCCCAAGGAGACTGCAACCAGGAAGGCCCCCGCCCCCCCGAGAGGCACAGAGGATCGCCCCGGGGGGCCACAACCAGCAGCCGGCAGAGTCCCGGGAGATATCAGCGGCAAGCCCACAGGCCCGCCCGCAGCCTCCCACCCCCTAGCCGGCCGAGCCCGGGACCCAGCGACCCGGGACCCAGGGGTGACCACCCCCGCCGGGGACCCAGCAGAGCCCAGGGACCCAGACCCCACCAGGCAGCCACCGGGATCTATCAGGCAGATGCCTGATACTTAAACCCCCTGACCCGGTTGCCACGAACACTCAGGCAGACCAAGGCACAACCCCTCACACCAGGTGTGGCAGGGGGAGGGGGGACAAAGATCTATATCGTCAAGAGAGGTTTCAGGAGAGGGGAGGAGTCAAAGGCCCCACCTGACATATACAGTGGGGCAAAAAAGTATTTAGTCAGCCACCGATTGTGCAAGTTCTCCCACTTAAAATGATGACAGAGGTCAGTAATTTACATCATAGGTGCACTTCAACTGTGAGAGACAGAGTGTGAAAAAAATCCATGAATTCACATGGCAGGATTTTTAAGCCTTGCTCGGCCGGTTGGACGTGGTGGCGGCCTTGCTTTTATCTGTAAAGATAAATTTAAGGTCTCCTATACAAACCTTTTCATACTGGACTTTCGAATCAACTGCCTTACAAATTAATGGATCTATTCAGACAATTTTGGCTGTTATCTACCATCCACCAAAGTTCAATTCTGAATTTTTTAATGAATTATGTTAATTTATAGCTTTTTTGTGTTCACTTTCCCAGAATGTGGATTTGTTAGGTGACTTCAACATTCTTGTTAATAACGCCTTAGACTCTAATGCAAAATGCTTAAGACTCTGCCTGAACAACCATGGTTTCCAGCAGTTTGTAAACGCTCCCACTCATTCTAAGGGGCAAACCTTAGATCTGGTTTGCTGTACTGGTGTTACTCCTTTGGATGTTATGGCATCTGATTTCCCCTTTTCGGTCCATAAGCTTGTTTCGTTTAAAATTAATTAACCATTATTTAAAAAAAATTATCCCCCACTCCATTTCTTTTAGAAATGTTAAAAATATTGATCTCAGTGCTCTTTCCTCTACTATCACAAACCTGTATAGTGGTGATTGCTCAGCACCTCCTGACGTCTTACTCAACCTTTATGATGATAAATTATGGAATATTTTTGATGACCTGGCTCCTTTGAAAACACGTAATGTTTCTTTTTCTAAATCTACTCCATGTCAGCGTTTGACACAATATCGCATCAAATTCTTCTAAAGCGCCTATCCACCATTGGGGTATGTGGGACGGCACTCTCATGGTTCAAATCGTACCTTTCTGACCGCTCGCATTTTGTTCAGGTTATGCCACATACATCTCATCTCATTCCTGTATCATGTGGGGTTCCACAAGGTTCAGTTCTGGGTCCAATCATATTTATCATTTATATTCTTCCACTAGGAAACATCTTTAGGAAGTACAATGTGAACTTCCACTGTTATGCAGACGATACACAATTATACATCTCTTCTTCATATGTTCAGTCATTACCTATTATGGCTATAACAAACTGCTTAAGTGAAATACAGATTTGGTTTGCTCATAATCTCTTGAAACTGAATGGTAATTAAATGGAACTTCTCACAGTCAGAACCAAATCACATGTTGCCAGATCTCTGGATTTCTCACTCAGTATCGATAATACTCTCATTTTATCATCTGCCCATGTTAAAAGTTTGGGTGTTACTTTGGATAACACTCTCTCCTTCAATACCCATGTAAATGGATTGGTTAAGTCTGCGTTTTTTCATCTGCGCTACATCAATCAATTACGTTCTTCCTTGGCAATAAATGACACTAAGATTTTTGTAAATGCCCTGGTTTTATCGCATTTGGATTACTGTAATGCTGTACTCACAGGCTTACCTCATGCAGAATGCAGCAGCGCGTACAATTACCTGGACACCTTTTTCTCAACATATTACTCTGATTCTAGAGGAGCTTCATTGGCTCCCAGTATGCTACTGCATTGATTTCAAAATATTACTCTTGACATTCAAAACTTTAAATAACATGGCTCCTAGTTATTTACGTGACCTATTGAATTTGTACACACCATCATGATCACTTCGTTCAACTTCCTATAATTTACTTGCTACACCTCAAGTCCGTCTATCCCTGATGGGCATTAGGTCTTTCGGCTCAAAGGCTCCGCGGTTATGGAATAGCATCCCCTTAGACATCCGTATGGCCAGGTCTTTCACTCAGTTCAAATCATTACTGAAAACTCATTTGCTTAGACAGGTCTTTCTGAATGCCTTATTTGATTTTAGTTTATTATGTATTTCAGCTATACTATGTAGATTTTAATGGGTAATGTTTATGATAACGTTATATTGACTGATTACTTGATGTATTTGTTTATATTTTTATTTTTGACCTTTAGTCTAGTATTTTAGCACTAACTGGTATTCACTTTTAACTTGTATTTGTTTAACTGATTGATTGATTTGTAATTTTAACTTGCTGAGGACTGTTTTATCTGTATTATGCAATTTCTGTAAAGCGACCTTGAGAGTCCTGAAAGGCGCTACAAATAAAATTTATTATTATTATTAACATCCAGTCTTACACATAAATATTTGATGCTGATGACACAGATTTGTTAATTTAAATCAAAGGCTCTGAACTGTGTTAACTTTAAAATCTAATCATTTTTAACACTTTGCACAAGTCTTATAATTTAACTTGGTGAAACTTACAGAAATTGTATTTTGAACAGACACAGGCCAAAACGTTATAACCTGCCTCGAAGCAGCAGGTGATAAATGTAGTAAAATCCTGAGTTTGGTGTTGGGGTTGAAGTTTGCTAAAAGGCCCACTGTGCTGATGGTTGTTTGCAGGTACTTCACCCTGTTCATGAACCTTCTAAACGACTGCAGTGAGGTCGAGGATGAGGGCCAGACAGTGGGGGGACGGAAAAGAGGGATGTCTCGACGCCTGGCCTCTCTTCGCCACTGCACCATTTTGGCCATGTCCAACCTGCTCAATGCTAACGTAGACAGTGGCCTCATGCATTCCATTGGTCAGTTGGCTGCATGTTGGTAGAAAACTCAGCTAATACAAATGGATTGAGCAGATTTCAGCACTGATTTCCTCCCTTTTAGGTTTGGGATATCACAAAGATCTTCAGACCCGAGCCACTTTCATGGAGGTGCTGACCAAGATCCTGCAGCAGGGAACCGAGTTTGACACTCTGGCAGAGACGGTGCTGGCTGACCGCTTTGAGAGGCTGGTGGAGCTTGTTACTATGATGGGAGACCAGGGGGAACTGCCCATCGCCATGGCCCTGGCTAATGTGGTCCCTGGGTCTCAGTGGGTGTGTAGCTCAATTTAATCTAGGAATAATTCAAAAGAGTTGTGCAGGAAAATCAACAGACATTTTAGAGTTTTAGCTAGGCATGGGTGTCTTTCTGTATTCATGGTGTACCACGGCTTCAGAAAGTTGCAGCATCAAATCCCAATAACGTTTTTATTATACTTTTCTTGCAAGTTAGCATGTGCTAAAGAGACGGTGTGGGTTTTCTTTGGGTCAGTGGGATGTACTTACGCATCCTAAACAGCAAGTTCTCTGAGAAACTGATTTTCACTCGGTTTAACAAGCAGGCTAAACATGGAAATAGTCTTCTCCCCTCATTTGTTACGTTAGAAAATAGACGGAGAAATGCTCGGATTAGACAAGGTAATCAATTGCATGTCACATTGGAAATTCGTATTCACGGACTCGCCCATCACGGCTCAGAAGAAAGCGTGCAAGAAACAGCAGAGCATGTCTTGGCTAGTAGAAGCTAGCCGTCAGCGTTGGCAACTCAACAAAACAGCAGAACTCCTCCAGGCATGTGTTGTTTGTGGAGATAAAATGTCAGTGTTGCAAAGCAAGCAGTCAGCGATGTTGCTGTCAGCCAATCAGAGGTGAGATGTTTGAATATCAGGAAATAAGACACCAAATCCTGCTTCCCTCTGCTCTGGCTAACTTCAAGTTCCAGAAAAAGGAGCACCAGAGATCTAGAGACCACTGCAAATGTATGGGGGGGGGGGGGACTTCAGTACTGATCATTATGTCTTCCTCTGATTTTTAGGATGAGCTGGCCCGGGTTCTGGTGACGCTGTTTGACTCGCGTCACTTACTCTACCAGTTACTGTGGAACATGTTTTCTAAGGAGGTCGAGCTGGCTGACTCCATGCAAACGCTCTTCAGAGGGAACAGCCTCGCCAGCAAGATAATGACCTTCTGTTTTAAGGTAGAAGCCACTCTAGAAATCTTAGATACTCTCATTTTTAGCAATAAGGACATGCTGGAAGTGTGTTTCTGCCTTCATGTTCTGTCAGGTTTATGGAGCAGCGTATTTGCAGAAGTTACTAGAACCTTTATTGAGAGGAGTCATCTCAACTGCTGAACACATCATTTTTGAAGTGGACCCCACCAGGTAAGTTCTATTAGTTGTGTATTTCTCACAGTTGGGCAGTATATCACACAGATGTTACAGACCACAATCCAATCTAGACCAGTGTTAACGTTTTTATATTCTATGTTCAGGGTCAGAGTTATCATCAGGGAAAGTTAGACACTTGTCTTGGGCCGCATGATGCTAATAGCCTCATAAAATACCTAATAAATTGTCCATTTATCCAGGAGAGGAATGAACAGATTATTCTGAAAATCCCAAACTGAACCTGAACTCACCTTGATAAGACATTAGTCCAACTTCGTGGTCCAGAGATCTGCTGCTCCTACAAGTCAGATGGAAGACAGCACAATGTCTCTTCCAGATGTTTCTCCTAAGATCCAAAAGGCTTCACTTCTGACAATGGTTCAGCAGTTTAGGCATACACATTATAGCAATCCCAAGAGATAAAGAAATAACGCCTCATCTGCTCCTGTTGTAGAGAAATCCTCCGAGCTGGAAATCTTGACTCAATCAGGAATGTGCTTGTGTCACCAGGCTGGAGCAAGGTGAAAACCTTGAGGAGAACCAGAGGAACCTGCTGCAGATCACAGAGCGCTTCTTCCAGGCTATCATTGGATCTTCTAGCGAGTTTCCCCCACAACTCCGCAGTGTCTGCCATTGTCTGTACCAGGTAGTGCTCATGCCCCTCACTTAGACTCCTCCTGTTCTGGCTCAGTTTGGACTTGTACATATCACAGCCATCAGTGCACAGCTTCACATTTCAGCTGAACACATTGTGCTGGATGGATGAGTGTTTGAACAGATACATGTCTTCAGATTAGAAAGTCTCCAAACTACACTCAGTTGTTAGTGACTCCAAGACTGGACTGTGTTCCCCTCTCTTTGACTTCCATGACAACAAGGCCGCCGTTAGACTTTCCAGTCAGGCATACATATAAAGCTTTAGTTACCTACTGTTGAGATGAAGCCTCTTTCACACATGGTTGGCAGCTTAATGATCATCCTGCTGCTGGTCGTGACATTGTCCACACACCTCCTCATCTGTTATGTCTGGATGTGTACAGCATCAACGTGCGTATGATAACTAGATGTTATAACTTTGAAGCTGAAGATAAAGGAAAGAGAAGCACCCTCATAGTGGCTAGCTGCAGCCCAGGTTATAAGCCACTCCCCTTTTAAGGGACATAGGGACCCTAAGTCACTTCCGCATCATGGGTCCCCGGAAGAACGAAAAAAGGAATACAAGTCAATGGGGCTAAAAAGGCTATTTTCTAACCCATTTTGCCTTACGCCCTGGATCACACACATGTTGTACTGTAATTTAAATGAAAAGTAATGAGGGGTGTTTTGACCAAGCCAGTCACGTACTTTGAGATTTATTAGATTGTAGCATGAGTACAAACTAGAAATCGGCACGTTGCATATGTGATGTCACCACATAATCTCCTCCCCCTAGCGTAGCTGCTACTCACCACATGACCAGATTTATGGTGGTTCTTTCCTCCTGTGGGAAGTTTGCTGAACTTACAGCCTTTTCCCTGAAGCCTGGTTCATGCTTCTCCGTCAGCTCCACAAGGGACAGACACGCGCAGACTGACGGAAGCGTTTAGCTCTCTTACTTCTCCGTCTCCTGGAGAGTGTTGCAAAGCAATTCCCCGCCAGGACAGCAGAGGGCGTAGCGCTGTTCTGTGGTATCATGTCATGTATCGGTCCAAGATCGTGTGTTTATATTGTGTTTTTGTGTATATAAGAGACTTTTAACACGGACATATTTGTCTCTCCTCCTCCTCCACCTCTTCATGCGCTCCCCACCTCTAAACCCACGTTTCCTGTCGTTTCCGTCCACAAATAAAACGCTTGCTGCTCGTCCTTTCACTCCTCCAGTCACGGGGGATTAAACGTTCATATTTTTAGAGTTTTTTCGCGAGGTATTCTTCAAGCTTCTCCGTGTCTGCCGCTAGTTATCCTCGGCTCTCTTTGTGTTTTTGAGGGCGCAATGCCGGCGGTGTAGACGACAGCGGCGTCCTGACCAATCACAAGCTTGCGTTGTCCGTCTCGACTGACGGATGTTTAGAAAAGAGAGCTCAACTCCGTACGTACTTGCGGAGCTCTCCGGCAGGCCCGCTAGGACGTTGCGTGTCTCCGCTCTGACGCAGACGGAGGAGCATGAATCAGGCTTCAGTTTTCTCCGGGTCTGATTCGATGACGTCACTTTCGTGAAGCGCATTTGTAGCCCTGGACTTATTTTCACACAAAACCTAACATTCCCCCATTAAAAAATAAGTGTGTTCTTGGTATCAAAATGTATCTTTAAAATCCACAGACATCATATGTGAAATCCATGGCACAAAACAAGCAGAATTAGAAAAATAGCGTTTTTAGCCCCATTGACCTGCATTAATTTTTCCATTCTTCCAGGGACCCATGGTGCGGAATGACTTAGGGTCCCTATAGTATCTTTATATTTTACTGCTGGATGTTCAAATTAGCAATTTTTATTAGATGTTTAAGTCTATATATGTCATATTATGTCTGTATAATGCCTACGTATATAGAAGTCGATGGTTTAAGTGCACCGTGTCAGGGTGGGGGTGCAGTAGGGGTTTGCAAACTGCAAATAGGATATTTTAGCTTCACTTTTCACCAATTGTTGAAGAAGTTAGAGATGTTTCATTCAGGAACAGTGACTCCCATGTTAGCTCCTCCTCATGACTGACCTCCTCACCCTGTCCCCAGGGGTTCTACGTCCTATGATTACAGCCAAGGGTTGTATTCAAATATTTCTTCTACTTTTTCCAGCCCATCACTGTTTGGTTCACTTGACAGATGTTTATGGCTCAGCAGCGTTTTGTTATTAGAAATGCTCCTACCTCTGGAATTCTTCAGCATCTTCCGAATAGCTGCTTCTTTAAAAACTCTAAGTTAGTGTAGACAGTGTCAGAGGAGTCAAGTGCCTGCCCCATAAATGGAGGGTTGCAGGTTTGTGGCTTGCTTAGTCTGTGGCAGTCGTGTTCGTTGGCGAGACACGTCACCGTTCTTGACTGCTGGTGGTGGTCGGAGGGACCGGTGGTGCCAGTGTACGGCAGCCTCACCTCTGCCAGTGAGCCCCAGGGCATGTGATTTGGAATCATTGGATTTCCAAGGAAGATCCCGCCTTTCTTGCCTTAGATTGGCTAGAAGGACTCTCCTACGATTGGCTATTTCATTTAGCAGCAAACCGTGTTCCCTGTCCTCCTGCCGACAACAAAACAGCTGTTTTGGGGAACTTTGTAAAGGAAATGTGAACTTAGCTCTATAATAACCATTCTGTCCTGTTTTGCAAAATAGTATTTATCTTTTTTTTAATTAAAAAAATGTAAATACAATTGAAAAATGTAAAATGGGAACTTATAATGAATCTTGATGCTTTTTTCACACTGTTGGACTTTATATCTATACATATCTCAAGCTAAGGTTATCTTATTAAAGCAGAGTACATAGGAAACAGGTGTGCCTTACCTGGGTATGAAATATAATGAAACTGCCCTATTTTACCGAGCTGTGTGCAGCAGGTCTGTTTCTCTTCTAGAATAATGACAACTGGTGAAAACAGGTCTAAATCATAATCAGCTGTGAGTTTAATTTAGATTAAATGATAAACATTTAAACTGATGATTAGAGAGGTGCCCTAACTTGCAAACAACCTTAACCTATGAAAATGAAGGCATAAGATACCCTACAGTAATATGATAGCCCCGATGCTTAACTCATTCACTGCCATTGATGACTAAAGTCGTCATTTTAGATCCAACCGTTTACAGCCAATCGTCACTGGCATTTTTTTACTGTATGGGCGTCGGATGAGCCCCCGCACCGTGAGAACAAACGTCTCAGCTCTAAAGCCGATCTTCATCTGCGTCACACGTCACATGATCAGGAGGCAGAACATCCATGTGTTAGGAGATCGTTTTGGGCCGCTGCTGTAGAAAAAAGTGAGGAGCGAACCGGAAAAGCTTCTGCCGATCACAATTCAATAACGGATTATGAAAGAACGGATAACGCTCGAAACGCGCAAATTCTTCCTGATGTAAGAGGTGAGTCTCCGCTTTGTTTTGGTTGTTAAGGCATCGACATCATCCTAGTGCGCAACGTTCCGTGACTCTTAAAAAAACAGCAAAAACAACGACTTAATCATAAATACCTTATATTTAAAATCTCTAAAACAGATCTCACCAACTCTATTTTTGTCCTTTTGAGTACTTTCCAGAATGAGCCATTTCTGCTGGTTGATTCTATCTGCCAATCGGAGGGTTCCGCTAACGGCAGGCGTGTAATTGAGCTGGCCAATCAGTCGTAGTGGGTACGTTGGCCCGGAGCAGCCCTGAGCAGACCACCAGAGGATAAGGGCTGAAAAACTGCCCGGTAGGATAGGGAAAAGTACCAGGCCACCTAGGCATGAAAACAATATATGCAATGCGGGCTGGGCTGAGTTGTACCAGATGTGAAACTAACTGACAGCGGTCACTGGCCACAACCACCCATCTCTTGATTGGCTGGGCTTAAATTTGTTTCATGATTTTATTAAGCTGGTATGACCATTTATCTCTGTAAAAATAGGGAATTTGTTAAAACACTGTCAGATCCAAATGCTTTAAAGGCAGAAAACTTAAAAGGCACACCTGGCAATTTTGGCTTGATTCGAGCACCCCCTAGTGTCTGTTTAGTAGAACCAAAAATGTTACCTGTCTCCTCGATGTGCGTTGGTCTCTTTAACACCTTAATCTAACTTCTGAAATGTCTCCCAGCCTTCACGGGTGTCTACAGGAGCGATTCATCACTAAATTAAATAAATCAGTTGTGTTCACCATCTAAAATAGTCTTGTGCGTTATAAAAATAAGCTTCGACAAGCTAGAACTGCTTATTTTTCATTGCTAATTGAGGAGAATAAGCATATTCCAAAATCTCTGTTCAGTACAGTTGCCAAACTTACACAGAATCATAGCTCTGAGCCATCTATTCCCTTAGCCCTCAGCAGCAATGACTTCATGGGATTCTTCGCAAGTAAAATTAATTCTATTAGAAACAAAATCATTAGCATCCTCCCTAATGCGATTTCTTCTTCCTCAGTAAGTGAGGCAGCATCAGAGGTGACTCTAGAACCTCATAAGTGTTTGAACCGTTTTGATCCAGTTGAGCTTTCAGAGTTATCAAAAATATTAGCTTCATCTAAACCTTCCACTTGCATTTTAGATCCAATCCCAACCAAATTGTTTAAAGATGCATTTCCTTTGGTTACTGCCCCCATTCTAGATATAATCAATCTATCCTTAATAAATGGGTATGTACCACAGGATTTTAAGGTCGCTGTAATCAAGGGCTGCAGCTATCGAATATTTTCGTAATCAAGTACTCTATTGATCCATTTATCGATTAATGGAGTACTCTAAAAAATTACCCTTTTGCGTTTGTAAACCATTATATCAAATAGCATGTTATAAAATATGAAAGACCTCTTGAAATGAGCATGCAATTGCCAGTTATTCTTCAAGTTTTATTCAAAATTAGTTTTCAAAACTTCAGCACTTCAACTTTACTTCACAGTAAACAAATGCGAGTGGCTGCGGCCCAAACAGCACCAGAACTGCTCACGGCGCATGAGCAAACATGTCTCGCCAGCTATTTCCCTATTAACACACGTCCGTTTTAATTTCTACACTTTTTTTTTCTCTCACTAACAAGGATTGTCGAGAAAGCATGTTTGCTGTGATTATGTCAAGTTATATTGATCGCAGAAGATTTATTTACTTTCTTTCATTTTCCTCCGCAGCTCATAAATACCTGTGTCCTCCTGCAGCAATCCCGAGGGACAACAGACATCAATAACAGCACAATAAAAAGTCTGACGTGTAGTAAAAACTGATATTTTTAGCACATTTTAAGACCGACGTGTTGCTACCAGATGTACGGTGTGAGCTGAAACCAAGTGCTACAAATGAAAAAATTGCAGCGTCCGCAGAATATATAGAAAAACAGGCTAAAATGCATTATCTTGTAGAGGCTCCGAGTCCGCTTGCAGAAGTGACATTTACATGTTAGTGATGGGAATTGCGGCTCTTTTTAGAGAGCCGGCTCTTTTGGCTCAGCTCACCAAAAAGAGCCGGCTCTTTCAGCTCCCATGTGGCTCCTCAGATTTTCTGTTGCGTAAAGTATTTTTATGACCAAAAATAATGCTAAACTATATGTAAAATTATTTACTAATGTAAAAAAAAGTTAGAGCCGGGATTTTAACACGTTAATTATGAAAAAACGATTCAAGGAATTTTTTCGAACCATTTGAATATTCGTTTCAATATTTCAGCCCTATTAGCTCTGTTAGCGATTAGCTGACCGAATTTAACCGTTAAAATCCCAGTTAACTGGTTCAAAAAATTGAAAACATGCATCATGAGAGTGTACATACCTTTATCTTTATCCTCTTTTTTCTTTTTTATTCCTGAATTCGGCACCTGGTGGTTTTAGCCTTTTTGTGTTCATCTCTTCTGTTTGGCTCTTGACTCAGTAAGTTTCCTTTAGTCTGGACTAAACAATTTGACCTTGATGGGGGGGTGACCACAAAATCGTTTTGTTTTTCCTTTTTTTATTCGGCCATTTCACACAATTCAGAAAAACCTGAAAGAATGATAGGCCTGTGTTGATGATGTTATGAATGAAATGTGCAAAGAACATCAAGATGTGATTGACTTTAGCCATGTTAATACAGTTGATTCAGCCCCTACCCGCTCATTTCATTTGGGAAAGACCCAGAGGTGAATTCCCCCGCCGCACCCCTCCCCTTCCTGTTTTTCATACACACACAGTGCATCTGAACCCTCTCAGTCAGCAGGAGCGCCTGCA